TCTTTCCTGCCCTTGACAGTTTGAGGAGTACATCCAGGCATTTTCTAGCATGTTCCTTAGTTGGGGTGGGTCTGACCTTTTTGTCATGATGAGGCTGGAGTGATGGGTAGGCTGAGGTTGCGGGTGTTTGGGAAGAATGTCGCAGAGGTGAAGGTCTTTTTCATCCCATTGTCACATCGAGTGGTGCGTGTTCTCTGCGGGGCTCGTCAGTGGCCATGTAACCCTTGATCACCTGGCCAAGGTAGTATCGGGAAGATTTCTCCTTTGTAAAGTCACCATCCCCATTATTTGGGAATAAGTTGCTGAATCCAGCCCACTTTGGAGGGGAGGATTAAACTGTTTTCACAACATGTTAAAGGGTAAGACTGTCTGTACTTCCTGCGACTCTTCAGGAATATGATGTCAGTGACTGCGAGAGCAACCAGCCAAGGTGGGCAGAGCACCTAGGTGGCTCAGATGGGTAGGTGGCTGCCTTTGGCTCAGGTGGTGATCCCAGGGTGCTGGGATTGAGCCCTGGGTTGGGCTCCCTGTGGGGAGTCTGCTTCTTCCTCTTTCTCTGCTTGCTCCTCTTCCTGCTTGTGCACTTGCTTGCTCTGTTTCCCTCCCTCTGTCAAATAAATAAAATCTTTAAAAAAAAAAAAAAAAGGGATGCCTGAGTGGCTCAGTGGTTGAGTGTCTGCCTTCATCTCAGGTCGTGATCCCAGAGTCCCAGGATCAAGTCCCACATCAGGCTCAATGCAGAGTGCTTGCTTCTCCCTCTGCCTGTGTCTCTGCCTCTCTCTCTGTGTCTCTCATGAATGAATAAATAAAATCTTAAAAAAAAAAAAAGAAAGAAATCAACGGGAAGTTGATATTTGGTTCAAAAAGTTGTCTTTTGTTTGTCATTTAACTTATGTCTAATTTTTCCCTATGTTCAGGTCACCAATGTGACCCTCATGAGAAGCATCTTTGGGGTCACTGTAAGTTTCTTGGCCGTGTGCCATGACTCCATGGTCCCCCATTGAGCAGACATGCTTGGCTTTCCCTGAGTCTTACCTTCCTGCTGCTGCTCGTGTTGATGGGGGCTCCTTGAAGTCAAAGGTTTGGCTGGTTTGGTCTTTCTAGTGTTCGTCGGATGAAAGAAAGTTCTCCTTATGTCATTCCTAGACATAACATGGAATGTTCTGGGAAGTGTGGGTGGCTCAGCAGTTGAGCGTCTGCCTTTGGCTCAGGGTGTGATCCCGGGATTCTGGGATCGAGTCCCACATCAGGCTCCCTGTGAGGAGCCTGCTTCTCCCTCTGCCTATGTCTCTGCCTTTCTCTGTCTCTCATGAATAAATAAATAATATCCTTTAAAAAAAAACATGGAATGTTCTAGCTTTGGAAGCTTTCCTTATGACATTTCCAGGCCTGGGGAGACTGAGTCACAGGTGTCAGTGCTTTAACAGTAACTCATGGCTTTTTAGAGGTAACTCCCCCTCCCCAGTCTTGAGCCTTTAGAGTTTAGTTATCTGTTATCTAAGTATTAGGTTCTGGTTCTGCGGTTGATGCAAAAGGTGAGCATTTCTGTAATCCAAATACTCCTTGAGAAAGCCCCACCCCATCCCCTGAACATTCTGTGAGGGTCCCTGGAATTGTGTTACCTGGTGTGAGGCTCACAGGGGCTGAGTCCCGTGGAGGCATAGGAGCCTGTAGGGCTCATAGCAGTTTGTCTTCCTGTCTCCAGATTTTTTTTTCCTTCCTCTGCTTTTTGCCGCTGAGCATATAACATGGGATTTGCAGAGGCTGAAGCTGGGTGGGGCAGAGGGAAGACTGTTGGGTCTTCAAGGAGGCAGAAGGGGCAGCGGTTGCAGGTGGAAAGCAGGTATGCGGGTCCAGGTCTCTCCTTCAGCAGGAATGCACGTAGGTATCATGCAGCTCATGCTGTGGGCCTAGAACATTGGGACCGCCTGGGGGGCTTTGGCCTTAGGCGTGTACTGTCTCCTCTGCAGAGTTTCTGCTTCACAAGGTTTGGCCTGGAGTTCAGGAATCTGCATTTCTACCAAATTCCCAGCTGAGGTTGGTGTTGCTGGTCCAGGGAAGCTTCCAGAGCTGCTCTGTACTATATGGTGGCCCCTGGCTCTTTGTGGCTATTTAAATTAATGAAAATTAAATAAAAAATTTAGTTCCCGGGTCATGTTAGCCACATTTCACATGCTCAGTAGCTGCATGTGGCTAGTAGCTACCACATTGGATAGCCCAGATCTAGAATATTTCCATCATTGTCAAAAGTTTTATTGGGCAGTGGTGAGATTTGAATCTCTGCTTTAACACTTACTAGTTCTGTGAGTTTGGGTAAGTTCCTTAATTTCTCTGTGCCTCAGTGCCTCTGCTCTGTAAGAGAGGGCTGACAGTTGTTGCCTCCCTGGGTTGGGGTGAGGTCACAGTGGGTTGGTGTGTGAGAATGCTTAGATGCCCAGCTTCTGGTGAGTACTGACAAAGGCGTAGGACTGTCTGTACAGCTGAGAAGCCGGGGGTGGTGGAGGTGTGGGTCCAGCCTTTGGGTGGCAGGTAAGTTTACTGGGGCTGTCAACCCCGGTGGCATGGCAAAGGCTGCTGGGGCGTGATGCTGTGGGAGCTGGGACGGTGCCAGGCTGACGGGGAGGTGCCACGACTGTGGAGTGATGCCTGCCACAGCGGAGGCAGGGGCTCTTTGTGGCCCTTGGCAGGGATTGTTTCTTGCCTTCCCTCTGCAGAAGAATTGCCCTGGTTCCGAACCCATGGTCACAGGCTGAGCCTGCAGGAACCACAATCTGAGATGGGGATTGGGGGTTTGTGTGCGGGAAGTCTCCTGGGGAGGGCGTGGGGGATGGACACCTGTGGGTAGTAGCAGGAGTTGGGCTGCTGTGGGTCACAGCCATGACCTGCAGAGCCGTCCTCTGTTGATGTCCCGGGAGGGCGGCAGTCATTGGATGCTGGATGCAGCCTTGCCGAGGCACTCTCTTCATCTGATGATGGCAAGTTCCAAACGGGGAAAGGGGTGTAGTGGGGGGCTGCTGGATTCTTCCCCTCCAGCAGCTGGGGAGTTACCGAGCCTGTCCTGGCTCAGGGTCAGGCAGTGCAGCACAGATCACAGGTCTGGGGAAGGAGGGAATGAGGAAGGAGCTTGGGGGGCAGGGAGGTGAGGGGAGTGGCAAGGTCCTGGCACAGGAGCCTAAGGAAGCTCTGGGTCCCCACCTGGCAGCTCCATTGCTCTGCTATAAGGTAGGACTTTTGGAGCAGATGGATTCGGGTGCCCCATTGCTCAGAGTCTCTTGGCCCCAGATCTTGTGTTTGCTCCACTGGCTCCCAGTGCCCCTGTCTCTATACCTGGATGTGGGGAGGTTTCTTGACCCTGTTTCTGCCTGGAGGTTCTGGATTCCCGAGGGGACTCTGACCTCCTCCTTGGTCCTGAATGAGCCCTGCAGGGCCCCCAGCTTGGCCAGACCCTCTCCTTGCCCTTTCTTGTGGTGCTAGGCCCTGCTGTTCTTCTCCTTTCATCCGGTCCTGGCCACGTTCTTCTTGGGCACCCCGGGGGCTGGGTCAGAAAGGGGGTCTCAGCCAGCCTGCTTGACTCTCTGGCCAGCCAGCCCGGCTCGAAGGTGTTGCTCTCAGCCTTTCTGGGAAAACCCTTTTTGCTGCCCCTGAAGCAGTTGGGGGTAGGGAAGCATCTGGCAGGTATAGGTGTCTGATGTTAGGGAGGCTGTTAGACTAGAGGTAAAAAGGCTGGAGGTGGGGACACAGGGATGGCCAGGAGCTCCACTCAGTTGTCTGCAGAGGCAGTTGCTCAGCATAATGTGCTGCCTTCTTCTGTAATGTGCTGCCTTCTTCTGGATGTGCCGGCAGAAGCTGAGTTGACAGTTTGGGGGAAACTGGGCCATTTTCTGCCCACATCCTGGGCAGGCTTCCTTCCTTGGCTATGCACAGCCCTGTCCAGACTGATGGCTGCAGAACACAGAGCAGTTTTCTCTGACCACACCAACAGCACCCCAAGACCACCCTCTCTCGCTCTAGTCTCGCTCTAGTCTCGCTCTCAGCTCTACAGCCACAGGGGTCTATATCCTGCGCCCTTGACTGACCACCCTGACCCCACACCTCTCCACACTGTTCATGCTATTCCTGGAGAGGCGGGAAAATGCAATGGTTACAGGTGGACTTCCCTGGAGTCCCTGTTCCACGTCCTAGCCCCAGATCTCTCTGAGCCTGTGTCCTAACCGGGAATGTGGAGATGGTGACAGTACCCACCTCATGCGGTCGTTAGAGCATGGAAGGCGTGTCTGTGTCTGTCCCCTGGAGCAGTGCCTGGCATTGTATATGCGCTGTTAAAGTTCCACTGCTACTGTTGGTAACTGGTGCTACTATGGGTATTTCTTTTGCTCTGAATGTGCTTTCTCCTTCTTCTTTCCTCTGCACCTGAACTTACTACCTGGCCCAGGTGAAAATCACGCAGGAAGATTTCTGTGATGTGGTCCACGTGACTATACCTTTTGGGATTTGATTCAAACCTGGGCTCTGCTGTCACCCAGCCCTTGACCTTGAGCAGACCCCTCTCCCGTTGCCTGTTCAAACCCCAAGGGTGGGTAATGCTTCCTGTGTGTGTGCAGAGGTCAGATGGAGTGAGGGCTTAGGTAACATTATTGCCTGGATGACCCGCAGGGCAACCTGGCACATAGTAGGGGCTTGTATAGGGTTGGCTCTTTCCCCTTCCCCTCCGGCCTTTGGTGAGTCGCTCCCCTTGGTTTGAAGCCCCGGGACATCTCCTATCCACAGAGGTTATGTGGCCTCCTGCCACCATGTTCTGCTCACACTGTGAATATCTTATGTGACCTGAGTCCTTGGCCCTCCCTGAAGGGTGGAGACCAGCCTTGTGTGACTCAGCTGGAATCCAGGGTCTCTTGTCCCCCAGTCTCTCTACCCATAGAGGGTGCTCCGGAGGGCAGGGTGAATGTAGCCCAGCCCTCCATAGTTGAAGCGGCTAGAGCTGAGGTTTCCCTCTTTTGCAGCATCAGCCTCCGAGAGTTGAAGACCATCTTACCCCTGGTCAACTTTAAGGTGAACAGTGCCAAGTTCCTCAAAGATAAGTTTGTGGTAAGTGTCGTAGCTTCTTGGCGTGGCGATTTTGCGAACCGAGGGTCACTTAGCCTTTGAGCCCCATTGAAGGGTGCCTGGGAGAGCCCAGACATCTGTCCAGTTTGCAGTCCTAGGTGAGGACGTCATCCACGCCATCCATGCCTTCCTAGGTGAGACCCACGAGTGCGGTCTTTCCCTTCATTCACTGTCCCACAGCCTGCTCTCCTTCAAATAACATGAACAAATTTGTTTCTTTCGGAAAATATTATGAAAGGTTCCCTAGGTAAGGTTGTCAAGAGCATGGTATTCTGTATCCAAGCCCTCATAATATAGCTGTCAGAGTGGGCTCCTCTCTGGCTTTCCCCCAACTTCCTACCCAGCCCTCCTTCCACTCATCATTGAGTTTGTATGTGGTCTGCTGTAATTACGCTGTTGGGAGGTAAAGTGGGTAAAGTCACCCCAAGGGTGACGGCGTAGGGTAGGGCAAGTGGGGTCTTCCTGAATGGTGTAAGGGTGGAGATGATGCCTAGGCACCCCCCCGACTGGTGCTCAGAGAGATTCTGAATCTTGTCAGGAAGCCAGTGATGCTCCATCTCCCTAGCTCCATTTGTGGGACTCACATGACCTTGCCACTTGCTTGCCGGCAGCCCCGGTCATAGGCTTCCTCAAGCCAAGAAAGGGCATTCATATTTGTGCCAGTGAGTTCTTGGAAGAGTTCACCCACTTAGTGGCTACCAAGCCATCTTTTGACCTGCCTAGAGCATTCCAACTATTCCAGGAAGGCAGAAACAGAGACAGTGGGAAGCGTTACCATTGATCACCACATCTTTGGAATCTTGTTCTTTATCAGGGCTTCCCTGAGCTGGCAATATGTAGATGTTACTGGTCTGGTTTGGAGGAAGTCCTAGGGAGTGGGAGTGGGTGGTGGTTTTTGTATTTTACAGATGAAGAAACTGAGGATCTGAACGGATCAGGTAAATCATCCAAAGCCATTAAGCAATTCAGAGGACAAGCCTTGACTGGGGTTGAACTCTAACTCCAAAGGCTTGGTTAATTTTCCCATGCTTTTAGAATGCCCTGTCTGCCCAGACCTTATTACACTGGGTCTAGATTTGGAAGTGTCTTCTGCCCCCAGAGGGAAGAGTTCTGCATCACAGCTCTTGGAATTCTGGCTGAGTTGCTTCCATTTAGGGGGTTCAAGGGCAGGATCTTACCTGGTGGGGCCCCTGGTGGGTGTGTTCTCCAGGCAGGTAAATTAGGAAACCCGTGGACAGTTTGGGCTCAGAGGAATGTGAGTTTGGTTTTGGCCAGAGCTGTGGAAGAGCCATTCCACCTGGTAACAGTGAGGTGGCATTCTGGTGGGGGATGTAAGAGATCGCATGGTCACTTTTTTTTTTTTTTTTTGTCTTTAATTTACAGGAAATTGGTGCACACAAAGATGAGCTCAGCTTTGAGCAGTTCCACCTGTTCTATAAAAAACTTATGTTTGAGCAGCAAAAGTCGGTAAGACAATTCTTGAGCAAATGATCAGTGTTTCTGTTTGTTTCCCCTGTGCCTCAAAGTCTGGCGTGTCCCTAAGAAACCCATGAGACCCGTTGAGTGTCCCCTCTCAGCAAGGAAAGACACAGTGGGAATGACCGTGACGTCCTCGTTTCATCTGTTAGATTGGTAGTCGCGCAAGAGAGCTGTGGGGGAAATGGAAGGAACGTGAGAAGTCTGGAATTTAATTTCAGCCTATGAAAGTAAAACAAGTTCAGATAATTTGGCTGCACTATCTCCTCATGGAAGGAAATTTATCAAATCATTAAGGGTAACCATCTCTGGGTTGAGGGATTATGTGTATGATCTTTTTTAAAATGCTTTTATTCAATATTTATGAGAATATTTTTTATTAAGATAATATGCCATTTTAAAATTAAATTAAGATGTGCATACATTTTGACCTGACGGTGGCATTTTGGGAACTCTATTTGAGAGAAATGAGGGCATGGGGACCTTAGAATTTATTACCAGATTGTTTGTTGCAGCATTACTTATTCTGGCAAAATACCTGGAAGCCATCTGCATGCCTCTCAGTAGAGGAATAGCTGAGTGAAATTATGGTCCATCCATACCATGCAACATTATGCAGCTGATTAAGAAGCCTGACTGAGTCTCTCTGTTTGTTGATCTGGAGGGATGTTCATGATATTTTGTGAGCAAAGCTGGCAGCAGATTCACCCGAGGAACTAAGTCTGATGAAAAAACAAAACCAGAACCAAAACCAGGATATAATAATCCTCCTCCATATGTCTCTGTGTGTTTTTATGAACAGGGAAGAAGTATGGAAGGATACACACTTTGCATTTAATGTTGATCTTGTCTGTGTATTGAAGGGGTTTGGGAAGATGGGCAGCAGAGATAATTGCGTTTTTCTTTGCACACCTCAGTTTTCTTTGACTTGTTCCAAAGAGCACATTATTTACACACACACACACACACACACACACACACACACACACACAGTCCCATAAAGTATAAAGCTTAAACAAAGGGGTTCAGTGCAGTGTATGGAGCACAGTGCCTGGTGAGTGGTGCATGCCCCACAAACAGGAGGCTCTGTTATCAAAGGAGGGCTTTGCAGGTAGCAAAACTAGGTCCAGAGCAGAGCTGCAGAGCAGAGAAGATGTGGGACTTGGAGCCAGAGATCTGGTTTCTCCAACTAGCTATGTGATCTGAGGCTCTCAGCCTCAGTCTTCTCATCTGTGCAATGGGGTTGGGGATTCCTGCCCCACCAGGCTCTTGGGACGACTGAATGAGGGCTTGGGATGGGAGGAAGTCAAGAGTACAGGCATATTCAGTGATAAGCATATGAAAGTCACTAGAAGGTGGGGTGCCTGGCTGGCTCAATTGGTAGAGCATATGACTTTTGATCTTAGGGTTGTGAGTTCAAGCCCCACATTGGGTGTAGTGCCTACTTATTAAAAAAAATACAACAGGGATCCCTGGGTGGCGCAGCGGTTTGGCGCCTGCCTTTGGCCCAGGGCGCGATCCTGGAGACCCGGGATCGAATCCCACGTTGGGCTCCCGGTGCATGGAGCCTGCTTCTCCTTCTGCCTGTGTCTCTGCCTCTCTCTCTCTCTCTCTCTCTCTCTCTCTCTCTGACTATCATAAATAAATAAAAAATTAAAAAAAATACAACAAAGTCGCTAGAAGACACTAATTGCTTTCTGCATGCAGTCCTGCAGGTGGGCACAGGATGAGGTTTCTTGTTAGGTGACCACTGGCTGTAGGATTTTAGATGTATCTGAGGCAAAGACATGGGAGCAGCATCTCCAGTGTGCCTAGATTGGGGAAAGATACATGATTTTTTTAGAGTAAAACATTACACTGCATTGTATTAATTTTCACATATTAGTTCTTGGTTTGCCAAATAGAGTACAGGGGATTGAAAGACCTGGATTTCAGCCCCAGCTTGACCTTGGCTGACCACAAGTGATTTTGGGGAAAGCCATCTTTTCCCCCTTCATTCAGCTAGCTCTGTAAAATGAAGATATTAAATTAGGTCATTGGTTATAAAACATTTTAAATTATGTAACCATCCTCTCCTTTTTTCTATGAAAACTTAATAAAAAAACCTGCTGCATAAAAGCTGATCAAAACAGCTTTTTAGGTTAAAATCTGTAAGTTTTATTTGTAATCAGTTCTTGAGAACAATGAAAATGTCTGATGACAATGTACCAGTGGAATCCAGAATAATGACAATTGGTGTCTTATGCAATTGACCAGGATTGAGAAAACCTTGATTCACTCAAGATAAGTAGTTGCAAATAACAGCTTTTATAATCAGTTGCCTTGAAATTTCAGGATGCTGTCTCATCAGACAGATGGCAGGCAAAGCTTGAGAATAAGGTTTGCACCAAAGCTAATTCATCTGCCAGCATAGGTTAACCCATTGATGGTCTGTTTCCATGATAAAATTCCACCTAAGACTTATTTCAACCTCTACTTTCTTTGTGGTTCTTTTTAAGGCTAAGGTGTGTGTTTGAGAGGGAGGAGGTTGAGGAGAAATTTGAGTCCAATTTCTGCAGAATCGCTGAATCCTCTGGGGGTAATTTAGAGATTGCCCAGTTTTGGAGAGGAAAAAACATCTGTACCAGAGGCTCCTTCTCTTGGCCAGAACCCATTCAGCCTGCATTCTATTAGACTTGGCCTAATGGTTTAAATGTTTTTCAAATGAATTGCCTACATTTAAAACTTAAGAGATTTCATGTTAAGATCTAGATTTTTCTGCTGCTTCTGAAAAAAAATTGACATGTGGCTATATATGGGTCCTGAGTTCCCCATGAGGACATCTGAGTAGGAAGGAAGCAAGCATTCTCTGGCTTGCCCAGCTCCCACCTACCCCCGACCCGGCCCAGTCCCAGCTCTCTCTACTAATTTATGTTGCCTGCCACACCCCAAAGGCTTTTGATCTCCAGCACTGGAGGGTGTAACTGACTTGTAATTTGAATAACAAAGCCCCAAGCTCTATAGATAGATAGTGGCCAGTTTGAGAAACCTCACTACTCTTGTGTAGGTAAATGCCCCTCCCCTTCTGTCAGCATATAATTTGCTTCTTGAGCTCCTTGCTGGCAGTACAGAGAGCACAGAAAAGCAAGAGCTGTGTGCTCTGAGAGGCTCAGCTGGATTTCTTAGGCTCCTTTGGGGAGACAGGGCTCCCCCTGGTGATGGACAATTCCCCCTCGCCCCCCAGACTAGATCCAGGAGTGGGTTCCTGCTCATCAGTAGCTATGGATTTCCAACTTGAGGTAGTTAGCTGCACCTGCTTATGTTTCCACAGCCAAGCTTCAAAACTTCTAAAAGTTTTGCAGCAGCAGGAAGACAAATTTAATTGCATGTGTGTCCCCGATGATAAGCCTCTAGCTAGGCTGTACTAACAATATTACGAATAGAGATCATAGCAAATGTTTCCTAAGTGTGAACTATAATATACGCTGGGGCTGGGTGCTGTGCTGAGTGTTGTCCATGCATTTAGTTCTCCTGACAATTGTGTGAGAGGCACCAGTATTATTCCCATTTTACAGATGAAGAATCTGAAGCTCAGAGAGCTTACTTGCTAGAGGTTATACAGCTCAAAAGCTGCAGAGCTAGGATTTGAGTTCCCTTTTGCCCAACTTCAGTGCCCAGCCACTGATACTTGCTTTTAATTCTGAAAACATTTGTATCAAGGGACATTTCAAACATATACAAGCAGAGGCTATACTGTAGCAAACCCCATGTACCCATCAGCTAGTTTCACCAATGATCCACTCATGGGACTCCTTTTTCATCTTGCTTTAATCCACTTTCCTCTGCTCATGTAATTTTGAAGCAAACCCAGCATTGTATTATTTCTCCCTCGAATGCTTTAATGCTCAGCTTCGTAACTGTTCCTCCGCTACCTCCCCACCAAATATAGGAAGGCCTGCCTTGGTTAGTGGCGCCTGGGCAGGAGGCACTTACAGGCCCTGATCATCCTCGAGGATGGCTCCCTAATTTCCTTCTTGCTCTTGGTCCAGGACTTGAGTTTCACCCCTGTGGGATGCGGTGGTCAGGTAGCAGTTTATTCATCTGCTTATACCCCCTGTCCTTTCGTACCATCTATTCTCTGTACCCTCCGGTAGATTCCTTTGGAAATGTGTTACGGTTCTGTATTAGCTGCATTGCAGCATCACCACGATGTGCATTATTCTTTCGGCTTTTGGGGCTCGGGCATTCTGGCATGCGTTGGCTGGATTCTCTGCTTTAGGGTCTCATAGGAGTTTAGCCTGAGGCTGTGGTCTCATCTTGAGGCTCAAGTGGGAAAAGATCTGCTTCCAAGCTCATGAGGTTGTGAAAGATGCAGTTCCCTGCAGGTGTGGGACTGAAGGTTCAGTTTCTTGCTGGCCAGAGGCTACCCACAGCTCCTAGATGCTGCTGCCCACAGCTCCATAATGGATGGGACTCCCCTACATAGGTGCTGGCTTCCTCAAAGGTGGCAAGACAGGTGCTCGGTCGTGTATAGCATCATCATGTAGTCATAGACACATGATCATGTACATCCCATTACTTTTGCAAGTTGGCAGGGACCATGCAGGGGTGTGAATACTGGGAGAAGGACATCCTGGGGCCGTGTTAAAAGTCTGTCCACCAAGGGTTCCCATAAACCCAGCATCCACAGTTGCTCTCCAGCAGCTCACAAATAATAATCAGCTCTCAAAGGTATCTAGTGTGATTCAAAGAACAAGTGCCTTTCCAACCCTGCAAGGTACCAGAAGGCAAACACACAGCCTTCCACCATCCATCACCATCCCCTGGGATCTAAATGTAGGCGTCTTCAATGCTTCTTGGCCTATTAAAAGAGAAAATAGCTGTAGTTTTTTTGAAGGTGGCACTAATCTTGCTTTCACATTACTCGTAGCTGACAGCGGTATTAAGATTCCAGATGCTCAGTCTTATCAGTTACATAGGGTTGATGGTATCCATCCTCCAGGCTAATTGAGAGGATGAAAAAGGCTCATCGACAGCAGCCACCCAGTAGCTGGCCCCCCAGGACAGCTTGTCCTTTCATGAGCCAGAATCTCCTCTGGAGGAAGTGAGTACAGCTGGCTGTGGTCTTCTGCTCCCTGTCCTGCCTCAAAAGGACCATCTTGGTCAGGGTCAGTGGGTTTCCCGGAGGGTCCTTTGGTACCTCACTGACCAAGCAACACTTGATTGGAAATTCATTTCTGATAAGTTGCATTATCATCAAAATAACACATAGTTATAACAGAGAAGTAGAGAAGTAGGAAGTGCGTACAAATAAAAAGATAATTGAAATGTCTTCAAACCTTATATAGTTATATTTTTAGTAGAAAGATTAATATTTACTCTTCGAGATTTTTTACATGGGTGCAAGCATATGTGAAGTGAGTCACATTCTGTGGTGATATTGTGGCTGAGGGTTCCAGGGAATAGCGCACATTATTCTAATGGGCGTGAGGAGGGTAGGAAGGGGAGAAGCATCCAAAGTGCAAAAATCAGCTGTGGAATCTCTGGTTGGCTTTTTCTGTCATTTTCCCTTTGGCCCCCTGGCACCAAATGGCTCATGTAACCCACTAAGCAGAGTGTGTAAGGTATATTACACTATGGAGGGTGTGCTTCCCTCCATCCCTCTGTGGGGAGACTCATTCCCTGACCTCAGATTGACCTTGACACCTCTGGCCCTTGCTCTTGTGGTCTCCATCCACAAGATGGAGCCCCTTTTTTTGTCTCCAGGGAATCACAAGTCAGAGGTAACTTGTAGCCTTTAGTTCTATTTATCCATTATTTTAGGCATTCATTCAACAAATGTTTGAGCCAGGAGGGCACAGTGGTTAACAAAACAGACATCTCCCCTCACCTCATTGATCTTTCGTTGGGGCCAGAGGGGATATTACCTGTAGCCACACATCCTGGTTTGATAGACTCTGACCACATAACCCTGCACAGTAATGATAGAATAACTTAATTGCTGTCTCTCCACTATGTGCCTATAGCATCTAGAATGTTCTCTCATTGCTAGGTTGTCATTATTTACTTTGTGTGCATTTGCACGTACTGTGCAGGCCAGTGGAGAAGTGCCAAAATAGATCAGGGTTGAAATGCTGGCTCTTTGACGTTCTAGATGTGTCACCTCGGAACAACTGCTGGTCCTCTCAGAGCCTGTTTCTTGTATCTGACTGGGGTTTGTTTCAGTGCCTTCCTGATGGGATGGGGAGCTGGGGTTGAGGCTGCCCTGCATCAGCTCCCAACAAGCCTTGTTTGTTCCCCAGTGTTGCCACTACAGACCCCAGCTAAGCAGGTTCTGTCTCTTGCAGTCGGGGTGTGAGCAGTGCTGATGCCCCCTGACGTCTCCAGGGAGAATCTGTACCTTGCCTCTCTCCCCACTTCTGGTATTTGCTAGCCATCCTGGGTACTCCTTGCTCTGTAGACACATCGCTCCCATCTCTGTCACTGGTCATCATGTGGCCACCTAGTCCTGGCCTGTGCCAGCTCCAGATGTCCCCTTTATAAGGACGACTCATAGCATTAGGGCCTGCCCTAATCCAGGAGGACCTTGCCTTCATTGGATCATATCTGCAAAGACCCTATTTCCAAATAGAGTCACATTCACAGGTGGGGAGGGAGGGGATAGGGCTTGCACAGATCTTTTGGGGGCCACATTTGTAGCCATCACACATGCTGTAACCTCTTCCATTGATAGAGTGCCCTCCCTGATGCATTTTCCCTTTTGGAGCGCTGCCCTGTTTCTCTGCCCTGTGAAGGAACCTGCTCCAGGAGCCCCATCAGAATTGCTGTCTGTGTTCCCCAATCTCTCTCTCTGCTCTTGAGCCTATCCCAGCCATGTATCCAAGCCTCCCACCCCATGGCAGTTCATCCTGTCATATCACTGGGACCTCCACATTGTGAAAGCCACTGGTCGGTCCTCTGGCCTTTATCATGCCCACTGGGTGGCATGGATCACAGTTGGTCACTCTCTCCTGGATGTTGTCACTTGGCTTTGGGATACTACGCTGTCTTCATTCTCCTCTTACCTCGCTATCCATGGGTTCACAACATCTTTGGCTGGATCTTTGATTTCTTGGTGTCTGAAGGTTGGTGATTGCCAGGCAGGGCCAGTGCTTAGCCAGATTCTCCCATCTAACTGCCAGGTTGCCTTGCATCTCACACTGGAATGTCCAGAAGGGACTTTGTGATGCTCTTCCCTCCCACTGCGGTGGATACATGACTGGCTGCTCTGTTGGATGTACCCAGAAATCCTCCTGCCTTCTGCCTTCCATTCCCCAGAACCCCCATCCCCACACCTGCCCTATTGTGCTGCATCTTTAAATTTTGCTTCTGCTTATGCAAGTGGGGAGCCTCAGGTTGGTAATACTTGCCTTTTTTGCTTTCAATCCTTCTGCCCCTCTCTGGACCCTGAGGGGCTGATTCCCACAAGTACATTCCCAGGTGCCTCTGCCAGCAGGTTCAGCAAATGGGGTGACCAGGATGGAGATACAGGATACAAGAGGGGAAGCTGGGTGTTTCTTTTCCCCACGTTTTCTGGCTCTGGAAGTGTCTCTGCAGTAGGAGCTCTTCCTTTGTCCCAGCTGTCTACCTGGCTGAAATGGGGTGGGGCACTTTTTTGTGCTTCATTGAAAAGAAGTAAAGGAACTGGCTGGCTTTAGGGTCTAGCAGAGTGGGTAATTGAGGATAAGTCCCAGACCAGGTTTTCTGCAGGTATAAGGAAACCAGTCTCGGGGTTTGGTTTGGAAGGGATCTGGCCTTAAATACTAGGTTGATCTAGTGATCTAAGTGCCAAGTAAGTCCAAATAACAAAGAGCATGCACTGCCCCAAATTCTCCTTTTTTTTTTTTTTTAAGTAAAGAAATAGCTATGCTATAAATTACATGTAAATAGAAGGAAGTACTTCTGAGTTTTTCTCAAAGAGTGGCTCTTAACCTTTTTGGGTGACCTATTTCTTTGAGATGCTGATTAAAGCTATAGATCATCTTTCCAGAAAAAAAAAAAAAAACACATACATGCACAGACTTACACAGATCTCCTGATGCTTCCCCAGGGGCCTGTAGATACATACCTTTTGCAGAATGTTGGTTTTCCACGTGTCATCCTGGACTCCAAGTAGCTTGGCAAGCGGACTGGGGAGTCCAGAGCAGGAGTGGTATTTATATCACTAGCATTTGTAACGTGCCAGTGGCTGCATTTCCATTTGTGCTCTGAATTTTTCAAATGCTTATCCAATCACAGTCTCATTTAAGACCACTAAAGTAATGCTACCTCCCCAGAAGCAGACACACGGTATGAGTGAATGTGTGCGTGCACATGCATGTGTAAGGTGCTCGCAGTGCATTGGTGTCAGCAGAAGCTGGGGAGAAAGTCACACCAGGCTCCCTGGTGGAAGAGCGCTCCATCGTTACGGCAATAGTCACAACATCAGCAGGCTGCAAAGAGCAGGACCAAAGCTGTCCAGTAGTTCTTTTTTTCTCTTGAGTTTGAAGATGAAAAGTTAGCTCACTGAAGCAGTACAGATCTGAAATGTAGCAGGGAGGGTGTGGAAAAGGTTCTGCGTTTTCTGCTGGGGGTCTGGGCAGGACCGTTGCTGGGAAAGCAGTTTGATCAATCTATCAAAGTTAATATGCACACCCCATACCCGTCCAGGTGCTTTCCTGTCTAAGAATCTACCCATTGGAACTATCTGTGCAGCAGGACAAAAATAGACACGTATGTGGAGATTCTTTGTAATACTGAGCCTAATGGCAGAAAATCAGTGATGTACACAGTATGGAATATAAAGGACTATATGGGGTTTGCAGAATAATAAGTAAAGCCTAAAATCAACAGCTAAAAGTTTGGAGACATGGATGTAATATAAGATGTAATTAAATGAATATCCATCAAACACATTCTAGAAGGAAACCTACCAAATTATTAAGATTGCTTCTCAGGAATAAGACTAAAGAGGAGGTGGGGAAGACTTCTACCTTTTTTGTAGAAGGGGGTGAGGAAGACTTTTATACTTCCTACATTTCTGCCATATTTGAATATTTATAAATCATACCAGTTGCGATTTTCTAATAAACTCTCCGTTTGAATTGTCTTGACTTGTCCAATGTTCTTATTTTTTATGTGTTTTTCTTCTATTTTCTATTTCAGATTCTTGATGAATTCAAAAAAGATTCTTCCGTGTTCATCTTGGGGTGAGGCACCTCTTCTGGGGTATTATTCAGGGTGGCTGTGCAGAGCAGTGCCTATGTGGGTCCTCCCAGTTGGGCCAGCTGCCTGCCTCCAGGAGGGCCACCTCTGTGGGAAGCCACAGAGGCAAGGGGCAATGATCTCCACAGGGGCAAGGCCTCCTACTGGGGAATTGGCTTTCCTGAGCCAGTGGCATGGATAAACATGAACAGCAACAGGATGTGTGGTGTGGTGGGAGGGTGGCCCAGAAGGTTCATAGAGAAGCCTATATGCTTTAGGACCTGCTTTCCCAGAAAGGAGTTTGGGAACTTCCTGGTTAAGCAGGTTTAAGTGAATTAAAATGAGTCGAAGCATATTAAAGTGCTTCATGCAGTGTGTGAGGTGGCAAAGAGCTTATAAATAGTGATAATGGTATTATTATACTGTAAGTGCTGCAGGACTTGTTAGAACCGTTACTATTCTTTTTTTTTTTTTTTTAAGATTTATTTATTTATTATTTTAAAGAGAGTGCAAGTGAGCCAGAGGAGGGGTAGAGGGAGAGGGAGAAAGTGAATCTCAAGCAGACCCTGCACGGAGGTTGAAGCCCAGCGCAGGGCTTGATTTCACAACCCTGAGATTGTGACATGAGCCAAAACCAAGAGTTGGATGCTCAACTGACTGAGCCACCCAGGCGCCCCAAGATCTTTACTGTTCTTACAAATTCCCCAGGTGAGGGATTTATGAAGGGGTTCTGTGTTTCCCAGGCCTCTCTGCCTGGGAGATATGTTTGCCCTGGAGTTAACAGCACCTAAAGATGATTTGTGGTGCGCTGATCTAGGTCTGCTTTTCAGAAGCTGCTCTCATTGATGAGGACACTCTGGCAACTAATCCCTCTGTCCCTTTCTAAACCAGAAACCTCAAAACTGCAAGTATGTATGAAGCAAGTCTTATTCTTATATCGTCTTTTAAGGAAAATGTTAGTGTTAGATCATCAGGCTGGTTAGCAAAGAAGTTTACAAATACACCCATAATTAAAGACAATAGACTTTTGAATCCCGAGTCTTTAGTAAAGGGAACAAGCTGAAAGTGTGTTGTATTTCCTGTATTTAAAAAGACCCCTGCCCCCCCCCCCAAAAGACTCCCTCAGGGCGCCTGGGTGGCTCAGTGGGTTAAGTGTCTGCCTTCAGCTCAGGTCATGATCTCAGGGTCTCTGGGAGGGAGCCCCAGGATTGAGCAGGGAGTCTGCTTCTCCCTCTGCTACCTCCCTCCACTTGTGTGTTCCCACGCTCTCTCTCTCTCTCTCTCAAATAAAGTCTTAAAAAACAAAATAAAAGACCCCTCACACATATACACACAGACATCTTGCAGATGCTCAGTGTAAAGTACAGATTTCCTTGGAAAGTTCTGTTCTGCAGAATGCACTTTCCATAGAAACCAGTGTTACTCTGCCAGTCCCGTGAGGTCCCAGGTTTCCAATAGCCACTACCTCCTCTACAGCAGCAGCAGGCTGCTGGCTGAGGTGGAGTCTCTGTGTATGCCGGTGAACAGTTCTCTCATCGCAAACAGAAAATCCTCCCACCAGTGGACCTGTCTGCTCCCAAAGCCTGTGTCTTGTATCTTTAGGCTGATTCTCCCCATCCACCCAGAATCTGAGGGGCTTCATTGGGCCCCCACTCCTGCTTCAGAGCCCTCGGTGGCTCAGCAAGCTCTGCATTGTGGCTTCTGAGGAGACCCTCTGATGGGGCCCTGTTCGCTTCTCCCGTATGGGCTCCCCCAAGATGCTGTCCACATCCTGCCCTACCCAAGCATTTGCTGTGTGGTTCAGGTCTGCCCCTCTCCCCCTCTGTCTCCCCCACTTCTCTTTTCGTTAGGCCTTTGCATATGTGATTCCCTTTGCCTGAGCTCCCTTCCACTTCCTGGTGAGCCCCTCCTCATTCTCTGAGACACTAGCAGCTGCTGCATCCTCCAGAAAGCCTCCCTGGTCCTCCAAATCTGGATTTGGGCCCCCACCTTTCCACGGTCACCCATGTCCTTACTGCCCTGTGTCCCCCAAGGCCACACTCCTGTGGTACTCTGCAGATTGCGGGGTGCCCCAGAAGCCCCTGGGAGCAGCTAAGTGCAGATTCCGGGGCCCTGCCCTCCCAGATTCTGGTCCCTCCTTGCCTCTTCCCAGATCAGGGATGTGGCATCTGCTACCTTGTCTCCCCGGGGGTACTCGCAGGGTGTCTGGTGGCAGGCCGCCTGGTTGACAGCTTCTGTAGAGTGTGTCCTCTCTAAACACCCTCCCTTTCCCCGAGGGCAGCAACACTGACCGGCCGGACGCCTCTGCTGTTCACCTGCATGACTTCCAGCGCTTTCTCTTACATGAGCAACAGGTGAGAGGCACACAGGGCTGGGGGAGCTGGGAGGAGCTGCCTGGGCTGATGTCTCCTCTTCTCCCCCACCTGTCACCTGGCCTGCAGTTGTCATGAAATGTGGGTGCTCCCTGCCCAGTGCCACTTTGGTGGGTTAGACTCTGGAAAGAAAACAGCTTCATCGGGGTCCTTGTCCCAGGTGCACATCGCGGGAGGGGGGAATGAGAGCCTTTCAGGCTTGCAGGGGTCTGTTCCCACCTCCTGGCTTCTGCTCCTTCTCCTGGCTCATCGCCGGTGTACTTTCCCGGAAGCCCTCCTTGGCCGATGGGAAGAGGTGACAGGTGGAGGAGCCTGCCGGGTCCTCTGGGGGAGAGGTCAGCACAGCTGTCCTTAAGCAGATGACACCCTGGGAAGTCTCCTGGAGTGTTTGTGTTCAGGCTCCACACTGGTGGCAGAGCGAAGATGTTTTGTGTTGGGCGGGTGTGTGCTTTCCATCACCGTGGTTCTGCCCAACTGGGCATACTGGACATATCTGCAGACATTTTTGGTTGTCACAACTGGGAGGGCTTCTGGCATCTAGTGGGTGGAGGCCAAGGGTGCTGCTCAGCATTCTGAAATGCACAGGTCACCAGCCCCCTACCAAGGGGTTACCCGACCCCAAATGTCAGTAGTGCCATGGTGGAGAACCTGTGAGCTCAGCTGAGAGAATCCTGAGATCCTCTTTCTAGCTGTGTGACCTTAGGTCGGTGGTTTGACCTTTCTGCTCCCCAGTTCCCTCTGTGAATGGGGATGGGAACCCTACTTCCCAGAATTCGTCAGATTGTAATGATCTTCGTGGATGTGTATGAGTATGAATATACCTGCATATTCACATAGATATTGAAAAAAATTTTAAGTTTTTATTTATTAGAGCACAAGGGGGTGGGAAGGGGCAGAGGGGGAGGGAGAAGCAGGCTCCTCTCTGAGCAGGGAGCCTGATGTGGGAGATGTGGGGCTCAATCCCAGGATCCTGAGACCTGAACCAAAGGCAGATGCTCAGCCAATTGAGCCACCCAGGTGCCCCGTATATTTAAAGTTTTTATATATGTCACTGGAGTTCCCTTTACTATTTTTTTTCTCCTTATTTAATTGTTTGGGTTTTTTTTTTTAATAGACTATTTTTTTAGAGCCATTTTAAGTTCATAGCAATATTCAGTTAATCTGCTTCTCAAAAAAATTCCATTGCAGAACATCTCAGACAAAGACAAAAGTGGACAGACTGGCATCCTGGATCACCATGTACCCATCGCTCAGATTAGGAAATTATGCTTGTTTTTTCCAATTTTATTTCACCTGTCCTCCATTCCACGCCCACGTGCCTCCTTTCCTTTCCCCCTCTTCTTCATTTCTTCACTGGAATATTTTAAAGCAGCCCCCACACTGTGTTATCATTTCATTTGTAAATACTTCAGTTGTGTCTCTTTTACAGATCCACAAAACATAACCGCGATAGTCCCGTTCTACAGTCAACACTGTTACTGTCACTTGATGCATATCCCATATTCCGATATCATCAATAGTAAATAACAAGGGATCCCTGGGTGGCGCAGCGGTTTGGCGCCTGCCTTTGGCCCAGGGCGCGATCCTGGAGACCCGGGATCGAATCCCACGTCAGGCTCCCGGTGCATGGAGCCTGCTTCTCCCTCTGCCTGTGTCTCTGCCTCTCTCTCTCTCTCTGTGTGACTATCATAAATAAAAAAAAATAGTAAATAACAAGCAGAGATACACACTTTGCACAAGGCCAGCCACACGGAGGCCCAGGCAAAGCTGCTGTGGTGCCTTATGAGTGGAGGAGGACATGGAAGACGTGGAAAGACCATGTTTTCCCCATGTGGAGCTGAACGAGTGATGAAGAGGGGGATTATCTGCTCTACCCGAGACTAGAGCTGAAATGGGGTGCAGGGAAGGGGCAGATGCCCTGTCTGGGCACCTTAGGTGCTGGGTGCTGTGGTACCAGCGGCATAAAGCAGAGGGAGGAGCACATGATTTTCTCTTTTGGCCATGCTTTTCCTTGCTCTAATGACTCTGTTTGTAGGAAGCTGTAGAAATTAAATTGTTAAATTCCTGGGGAAAGTAGTTTGATCCCCTAGAATTCAGCAGCTGGTGCTGTTTAATATTACACATGCCCTGGCCCCATTCCTGGGCTGCCCTCAGAGGTTGGGGGTGTGGGGCAGGAGCTCTCTCTCTGCAAGTGGGGAGTTAGAACCCAGGTGGCCCCTGATGTCAAGAATGGGGACCCCAAGCCATCAGTTGGGCAGACCCTGGTGCTCTGTGGGATGCATGAAGCAAAGCTGGCCATCGAGTACATTTGGTCAGGGTGATGGCTTCTCACCTGTAGAATGATCCCTACCATTTGGTGTGCAGGTTCATATAAGGGTTGTAGGGAGCCCTTGGGCAATATGCAACTAAAAACTTTTTTTTGGGGGAAAGTTTATATACTTCGATTGCCATTCTAGGAACTTATCCTAAGGAAGTAATCGCAGAATTCTTAATGGAAATGAAAACTTGGAACTAACCTCAAAGTTCCCACTGGAGGACTAGTTGAATGTGCCGCAGCCCACCCCTGGGAAGGTGGGTGACATTGTAGAACTAGGCGGTTAAAAAGAAGACTCCAGAACTGACATACCTGGGTTGGTCTCAGGCTCATTGACGGCTCAAGGTATTTAATGACCTGAAGTCTCAGTTTCTCCACTTACACAACATGGAGAGTAATATGTACCTCCTGGGGTTGTGGGAGTTCAAAATGAGCCACTGCGTAAAGAAGGTTCAACATGGAGCCTGGCGTATAGTCCGTGCCCAGTGCAGACCCATCACCGTTCCCTTCCTTCCCTCTTCTAATAATTTCATTATTATAGCTGCCTGGCACATCACCCCACACCAACTATGCTTTTTTTTTTAAACCCCCAGAATATTGGTGTCTTAAGCTCCTTTAGGCAGAAGATTTCTTTATTCACAGCTAGGCCAGTTCCAGGTTACACTGGCAAAGCACCCATGCTTCTTTTTAATAAATGAAAAAGCTTTGTAGGAGAAGGAAGGAGGAAGCCGCTGGCTTTTGGGGAGCATTGAGGTCTGGGGAGGCGTTTGCATTAGGTATCCTATGATTTGAGTTTTGTATTCTGGTATTCAAAGATTGTAATATCTTGTATGCAGATGAACTGACTGTTCCCCAGCCTGTGGGCTGTTTTGTGTCCCTATCCGAGCAGATTTGCAAGCACCAACGGCAAGGCTCATTGCTGATTTCCCACCCACCTGCCAACAAGGCCATTCCTTCACCACCTCATTTGTATCTGTCCTTATGCTTTTGTTTCTTTCACACATCCTGGTCCGACCCTTCCCATCCAGCCACACACCTATCTGGTAGCGCATTTGCTTTTATTATCCTTAAAGGCAGAGACTTTACAATATTCAGAATCCATCAAACATTCATCAAAGTTGAATCTGTGTGTCGTGTTTCATCTTTTTGCCTGTGAATCTATGGGCTTTTAGGGATTAGAGAGGAAAAGAGTAAAGTTACTTGATACGTATATTCTTTTTGTAACAGGCTTCTGCATTTCTAAGCCACAGAAGCTGTTCTTGAACAGCTGAATATGTATTTCAGACATTATCAAAGCCTCTGATCAGCATTACCTGGCTGACTTGCAGGAGAGGACATATTCTGTGTCTATTTAGGGTCCCTGCTCTGCTACTTATTAGCTTTGTGACCTTGGGATTTGTCATGTGACATCCTGAGCCTCTTGTTTCCTTGTCTTTCAAATGACAATGACAGTGACAGCATATAACCTGCAGGGTTGCATGGACCATAGGAGGAGGAGGATTGTTCACACCAGCTGCCAGGATTGGAGCAGTCTCTGCGTGCCAGATGCTGTGTTAAATACATAACCTTATTTCATACGGGCTTTCACAGAAACTGCACATCGGTATTAGTCTCCTGCAATAGATGAGGAGGCACAGGGAGGGTATGTAACTTGCCAGGGTCAGCCAAGTGAGCAACGCTGGCGGTCGGACATAATTGTGCTCGCTGGCCTCTTCACACTAACAAGTGTTAAGAGCTAGCACAGGGCAGGAATTGGCAAACTATGGCCCGTGGACCAAATCTGGCCCACCACTTGTTTTTGTAAATAAAGTTTTATTGGAACACAGCCATGCCCATTTGTGCATGTATTGTGTATGGCTCCTTTTGCAGTACAGGAGCAGAATTGAGTGGTTGTGACCCAAAGCCTAAAATATTTAACCCTCTGGTCCTTTAGAGAAAATGTTCATCAGGTACAGAGTAATGTGCAGTATGTGGCACTTGATTGCATATGCATCTAGAAAGGTTGATATTTTTGGTCTTTGATGCAAACTGGACCCTGAGAGTTGAAGGATTTTTCCAGTCCTCTTTCTTTTCTTTTTTAAAGATTTTATTTATTTATTTATTAACGAGAGACACACACAGAGAGAGAGGCAGAGACACAGGCAGAGGGAGAAGCAGGTTCCATGCGGGGAGCCCAACGCAGGACTCCATCCCAGGTCTCCAGGATCATGCCCTGGGCCCAAGGCAGTGCTAAACTGCTGGGCCAGCAGGGCTGCCCATCCAGTCCTCTTTCTGATGATTTTTTGTTCTCTTTATCATTCTAAGGAGCTTTGGGCTCAGGATCTGAACAAAGTCCGTGCGCGGATGACAAAGTTTATCGATGACACCATGAGGGAAACGGCCGAGCCCTTCTTGTTTGTCGATGAGGTGAGTGGGCTCCTTGTCAACTTGACTTGACTTTTTGATCCACGTCTCTGACCTCTGCAGTTTATTTTTCCGGTTTCTTCCCTTGGAGGGCTTTGCTTCATCTGCCCCCAGACTGACTCTTTTAGTTAAGAGCTCATTTTCTTCTAGGTTCTAAATTACAGCCTTTTGTTTGGCTCATCCTTCTCTGTTTGGCTGTGTGGCCTGGGCGGGTTCTTTAGTTTCCCCGCCAGAGCACGTCTGCCACCAGGGAGCATCTAACAAGCACAGCAACAAGATTTGAAGGTTGATGGGGCACCTGCATCTGGCTCTGGGTGAAGCAGCTGGGGATGTGGGGATGCGAGCAGAACTGGGGCACTGCTGCCTTGTGTAAGGCTCTTCCCAGGCTGCAGAGTAGAGTGTACCCTTGGTGTCACACAATCTTTTTTTTTTTTTAAAGATTTATTTATTCATGACAGAGAGAGGCAGAGACACAGGCAGAGAGAGAAGCAGGCTCCACGCAAAAAGCCTGATGTGGGACTTGGTCCCGGGACTCCGGGATCATTCCCCAAGCCAAAGGCAGACGCTCAACCGCTGAGCCACCCAGGTGTCTTTTTTTTTTTTTTTAAGGAGTGAGGAATTGGAATAGGAAATTTCCTGCCTTTTAGATGTTATGATACTGGTGATGTTCTCTTGCTTTAAGTTGAGGTGGTGAGTTCACAGATGTTTATGGTATTATGCCTGAAAACTTACACGTGGGAGGCATGTACTCTTGTATCAACTATTTTAGGATACACATTAAAAAGGAAAACACCTAGGTGAGTGAAAACATGTGTCCGCATTTCCTGTTGCAATCTGAGCATTCTGTGTTACAAATTTGGGTCCCTGAGGCCTGGAGACCATCTTCCAAGTTCCCATATCAGAGCTGCCAATCTCCCTATGTTGGCAGAGACCAGAAGGAGCCACCCATCCTCCTCATCCTTGTGATCTTGTCTCTGTGACTCTCCTAGTTCCTCACGTATCTGTTTTCGCGGGAGAACAGCATCTGGGATGAGAAGTATGACGTGGTGGACATGCAGGACATGAACAACCCCTTGTCCCATTACTGGATCTCCTCTTCGCATAACACGTGAGTTTCTCGGTGAGCCTGTGACGGACCGGGCAGCCGAGGGGCAGGATGTTGGGGCACCAGTGCCCTGCTCCGGGAAAGTATGTGGGAGCAGGCAAAGTGCGGGTCTACACTGCTCAGACTAGATTGTGCAGAAGCTTCTGAGAGGGGCGTGGGAACGCACCCCCCACCCTTTCCAAGTTGGTATTTGCAGGAATCATGTTTTTTTTCTCTGACATTAAAGAGCAAGTTGGCAAAGCTGGTTTTGATAGACATCTCTTAGTAGCCACAGCAAAGCAAATGAATTGGTTATTGAACTGATACTTACTGAATGTCTGCCCTGTGCTGGGCTCTGTGCTTGCTGGGTGCTGGGGATACAGCAGGGAAATGAGCAAGAGCAGCCCTGTCCTCATGTACTTGGAGGGGAAAAGTCCTCCTTTATTTTTTTGTTTTATTTTAAAGATTTATTCATCTATTTTAGAGAGAGAGAGTGAGAGGGCAAGTACTAGAGCTGAGGGAGGGGCAGAGGGAGAGGGAGACAAGCAGACTCCCCGCTGACCATGGAGCTCCATGCAGGGCCCAATCTCAGGACCCCAAGATCATGAGCTAAAATCAAGAGTCGTACACCCAGCCAGCTAGGCCACCTAGGCACCCCAGAAGTCTCCCTTTGATTCAAGGATGAATAGGAGTTGATGAAAGAAGAACAGGTGGTGAGGCAAGGAGGAACAGCATGTGCAAAGGTCCAGGGGCAGGAGGAACTGAGAGGGATCTGTTAAGATCAGACTGTAGAATCCAGGATGAGTGACAGGAGAGGAGAGAAGTGGATGTTGCACTCAGGTTCCCATATTTAGTCTGTTTGTAACACGAGAAGGTATAAGTCTTGGCCTGGGCATCTGGAGAGCAGAATATTGCTACCTTCCCAAGTGTCACCACAGGCAGGAGTCAGAATGAAGGCATTTTAGAAGGTCACGTCTTTTTCAGGGCCAAATTGGTTGCCTGGTTCTCTGTTTCCCACCATGTCCATTGGCTTAGAGAGCTGACTTCTAGCAAATCCAGAGGACAATGAAGGGACATGAATTCTTAAAAGGAGAGGCTACAGATGTGAAGAGGAGAAGGGTGTATACAAATACACATTTATATATCCGTTTTGGTAGACATAGTTCAAAGTAGTGAGTTCAAGACCCGAGGAGCCCTGACACCAAAATGGTGGCCCATCTTTGGACTGTGAGCCTAGTGGACACCATGGGGCGGGTAGGATCATTAATTAATTATCGTATGTCTGATTCACTCCTGATACCCTTTGACCAAGTTCTCCTCCAAAGATTATGCAGTCTTGAGTCTCGGTCTTTCCCTTGGATTGCCAAGGTGGCTGCTGACCACATCCTGCGATTGTGGCCTCAGCCTAAGGCTCATGACTGGTATGGCCACATGATTACTTATGTCTGGCCCAGATCCTGACCATAGATCTTTCTAGACAGGAAAAATTCAAGATGTTGGGCGCTTGGGCTGAGAAGTTCCCCAAAATGCCCCAAGGTGCCGACCTCTGCACACATGGCCACTGCCTTCTCTCCCTCAGGTACCTCACCGGTGACCAGCTACGGAGTGAGTCATCCACAGAAGCGTACATCCGCTGCCTGCGGATGGGCTGTCGCTGCATTGAGTGTGAGTACCATTTTCCTGGTGGAGATGATGCTTATGGTGAATTGAGGTCTACCATGTAGCTGCCCGAGGCTTTCGTCTGAAAGGCCGGAGTCCTGGGAATGCATGGGACTGGCTGAAGAAGAACCCAGGTGCCCATAGCATCTGGAGTGGGGGATGTGGCCACCAATGGCCAGGGACCTTACCCCAGAAGATTTCCCCCCAGGACAAGGAATGGTGTCGAGCCTGGCCGTGTTGGAGTCAGAAACCCTTGGGTAGCGATTTTGGGCATCTAGAGAATGTCCCGATGTCACGGCAGGGCTGGGACACCAGTACCAGAGATGGCTTTGTTATACTGCTTTCCTCCTTCAGCTTCACTTGGGCTGTTCTTAGAGGAAGGCAGGAGCCCTCTGTGATTTTGCTGCTGGCCCTGCCATGGATGCCACCCTGCCTGTTCTATTCATAGTTGCTCAGAGACACCAGGGCACAGACGATCCAGGCCCCTGGACATGCTCAGGAGCCTGCCGCCTCCCGTCCCACCCCTCACCCTCCTGGCCTGACTGTGCCACCGAAGGCCTGTAGCTGTACTGGGCTGAGAAAAGGCACAGAGGCCTGATGTGGGCTCCAGTTCTATTGAACACATTCATCATAGCATCAACTTTAATAGCACTTATTCCTGTGGATGGTTGCCTAGTGTATGGGCCCTCCTCCAGGAGAAAGCAAATGTGAAAAAATTAAGTTTGAAACTGTCAGCTCTTGTTACCTCTGGGGGCTGAAAATAGAGGGGATGTTCACCTTCTACATAATCTAGTTCTGTTTGAATATTTTACTATGAACTTTAAAAAATAAATATCTCATTGCTCTGTGTTATTTCCACTAGCGGAAAAAGCAAGCCAAGTGAAATCAGAAAAAAAAATCCTACATTATAAATGTCTTTTAAAAAAAGGAAACATTGAAACTAGTTTCTTTTGGACAGATGTATTGGGGACCTTTAAATAAGCAACCAGAGCCTTCCCGTCACCGCACAAGTAATGGTTGTTCATAAGTAATGTGGGTCCTTGTGTTTCTGGCCCCTGAAGATAATTGTTGGGTGTGGGCCCCATGTCCTAGTAACTGAGCCATGTGGGGGTCAGGGCCAAGCTCACAGCCACCCACCAGCAGCGTGACTGCCATCACTGGACTCTTGAGGTAGAGAGTGATGGCCCGATGTCGAGACTACACGTTTCTTTCCTCAGTGGACTGCTGGGACGGACCCGACGGGAAGCCCATCATCTACCACGGCTGGACACGGACCACCAAGATCAAGTTTGACGACGTTGTGCAGGCCATCAAAGACCATGCCTTTGTCACTTCAAGGTTGGTTGGCTGATTTCCTGTTGGTTTGTCTTTAAGGGAAAGGTGGACAGACAGACGCCCCCCCCACCCCCGTGTGTCTGTCTGTCTGTCTGTCTCTCTCTCACTCACACACACACACACACACACACACACACACACACACACACACCCCTACCTGCCTGGCCTCCATCCTCTGGTTCACTCCCAACAAGTCTTCAGCTGAGTGTTGGCGCCCCCTACAGGCCAAAAGCGCAAGTCCCTCCCTGGTTCTGGAGCCTGGAGGAAGCTGGTGCTGGGAAACCAGTGACCTCTGCCCTCCTTCCCGCTGAGCTGAGCTGGCTCCTCCTGCACACAGCTTCCCCGTGATCCTGTCCATCGAGGAGCACTGTTGCGTGGAGCAGCAGCGCCACATGGCCAGGGTGTTCAAGGAGGTGTTTGGTGACCAGCTGCTGACGAAGCCCACAGAGGCCAGTGCTGACCAGCTGCCCTCGCCCAGCCAGTTGCGGGAGAAGATCATCATCAAGGTGGGTGGCCTCGGGTGGCCTGACATTCAGGAGAGCCAGTGGCTCAGAGCACAGGCTCCTGGTTCCACCACCTGGACTCACACCAGCTCTCCTTACTAACTCCCTGAGCGACCCTGGGCAAGGTCATTTAACCTCTAGGTACCTCTGTGTCCTCACTGGTCTTGGGAGGTTAATAGTAGAGCCTGCCACATTGGCTGTGAGCATAATGTGAAAAAATGTGTGCAAAATGCTTAGGATTGCATCTGTCCCGTAGCAGGTGCCCTGTAACTATTAACTGTCATTTGTTGATTCTTTAGGCAAACCTCCAACATGCTCTGGTCTAAGTCAGGTCTCTGCTGGGGGTGTGCCATTGACCCGGGCTCCCCTCTGGCCCTCAGGAGACCCCAGTCCACTGTGTGAGATGGGCATGGACTGGAGGTGGACAGTTGCCCCAAAAGGTTGTGTGTGCTTAATTGGATGAAGGAGGTGCATGCCAAGTGCTGTGGGGAGAGATGAAGGATCAGCCATGCCTGAGAGTGCCAGGGATGCTGGGAAGGGGGGTGAAGTCTGGGGATCTGTATTACTAGGACAGAGAGACCAGATATACAGTGACTTATTTTTATTTTATTTTTTTTTAAAGATTTTATTTATTTATTCATGATAGTCACACAGAGAGAGACAGAGACACAGGCAGAGGGAGAAGCAGGCTCCATGCACCGGGAGCCTGACGTGGGACTCGATCCGGGTCTCCAGGATCGTGCCTGGGCCAAAGACAGGCGCCAAACCGCTGCGCCACCCAGGGATCCCTATATAGTGACTTAGAGAATAGAAGAGGTCATTTCTTCGAGTGTTCTAGACGGTCTGAGCTCTGTCCCACAAGGCTATCAGGGGACCTGGTATCCTCTTATCTTTTTTTTTATTTTTTATTTTATTTTTTTTAAAGATTTTATTTATTTATTCATAGAGACACACACACACACACACACACAGAGAGAGAGAGAGAGAGAGAGAGGCAGAGACACAGGCAGAGGGAGAAGCAGGCTCCATGCAGAGAGCCCAACGTGGGACTTGATCCAGGGTCTCCAGGATCACACCCTGGGCTGCAGGCAGCGCTAAACTGCTGCGCCACCAGGGCTGCCCTATCTTTTTTTTTTTTTAATATTTTATTTATTTATTCATGAGAAACACAAAGAGAGAGAGAGGCAGAGGGAGAAGCAGGCCGGCTGGGAGCCTGATGTGGGACTTGATCCCAGGACCCTGGGATCATGACCTGAGCCGAAGGTAGATGCTCAACCACTGAGCTACCCAGGCGCCCCCCAGAACCAATGTTTATAAATACTTGCCGGGGTGGGTGTCAGTACGCATCTGGATGAAGGTTGTTGTGGTCGCTGTCTTAGTCTTAAAGATGAGAACTATGAGAGTCAGAGAAGTATAACCACCTGCCCAGGGTCACTGAGCTGATAAAGCAGCTTAAATCTGCATATCCTGTGCGCAGTCCACAGCCCTGCAGTCTGGGCTGCCAGACTGGCTATTCTTGCCTTTCCCTCTGTGTGCCAGAGAATGTGGGATGTGCAGGCGGTATCACTGATCCACTGAATATTTACTGAGCACTTACTATCTGCCAAGCTACCACAGGAGATTCAGCAGGGGACGACACAAAGTCCTGTCCTCATGGGGCCTATATTTTGTGACAGGGAAGACAGAAGACCCAGACATAGATACACAAAGGGCAAAGAGTATGGAAAATAACTCTCAGGGATGAGAGAGTGACAGGGATAGGAAGGGAGGTGGGGGCTCTTTTTAGACCAAGTAGTTGGGGAGAGCTCACTGGAGGAGGGGACACTGAGCACAGAGCTGAATGTTGTGAGAGAGAAGGCAGGTGGAGAGAACAGGCAGTGCAAAGGCCCTGAGGTGGATGCTGTGGGTAGATGCTGGCTGGCTGGCTGATGTGGATGAATGCTTGCTAGCTCAAAGATCCTAAACTTGGGTGTTAAGGAGACAGGCTATGTGTATTTTTTCCCCTCAGCATAAGAAGCTGGGTCCCCGAGGGGACGTGGATGTCAACATGGAGGACAAGAAAGATGAGCACAAGCAACAGGGTGAACTGTATATGTGGGATTCCATCGACCAGGTGGGTCTCCTTGCACCCCTTCTCAGAGCCTCGAGTGCATCTGAGACCTACTAGAGAACTCTGAGAATATTCCTCTCACTCCCGTTTTGACCCTTTTTTTGTATCATTAATGGTTTACTTTGAAATAATTTTCTATTCCACATAGCATACTACACATTTACACATACACACAACAGATTTTTTTATATAGCCTTCACTCAGCTTCCCCAAGCACTAACATAACATAAACATAACAACCAGAGTGTAATTACTGGAAATGCACGTTGGAGCAATACTACTAGTTGATTCATGGACCTTATTCAGTTTTACCAGTTTGTCCACTGATGTCCTTTTTCTGGCCCAAGGTTCAGTCCAGGATGGGAGAGTGCATCTGATTGTCCTAAGTCCTTAGTACCTTTCAGTCTAGGACATTTCCACTGGAAACCTTATTTTGGTGAGAGGAATGCATTTTGAGTGCTAGTGCCACTTCTCACATCCCTTAACGTAACATACAAATCCATTTAGGTCTATTTTGAAATCTCTATTCTGACATCCTAGAAATAATGAAAATTATTAATGTTGAAAGAATTAACTCACAGATGTTGAAGAGTCTCTAGACAAACTGGTTGGGAAATCCTGAAAGACCTAAAACGCAGATGTAATAGAAAAAGGCAGTCATGAAACCCCAAAAACATTGCCCTCCTTCAGAAAAGGCTTCAAATTAAATAAATATGAACCAGAAATTTGATACTTAGTTGTATCTACCCTTAGACACACTGAATAAGAAAAGTCCTGAAAATGCCAAAAGAACCCAAAAATAGATATTTAGAGGAAACGTCTTGAAGGGAATTGAATTCCATGAAACCACCATAAACTCTACGAAAGTGAGAAAGACACATCCCTCGTAAATGCTGGGGTGATGCCGGGCAGGGCTCATGGCCCCGCTGGTGTTGAGGGCAGAGGCTGAGAGGAGAGCTGATGCTGGGTTCCCTTTCTAGAAATGGACTCGGCACTACTGTGCCATCGCCGATGCCAAACTGTCTTTCAGCGATGACATTGAGCAGACTGCAGAAGAGGAGCTGCCCCAGGTAGGGGAGACCTCCTAACCCGTCCTCTCTCCCATGGCCCATGGGCCAGACATCCTCAGCCCAAAGAGTTTCCTCTTTGGGTACCAGTGTCTGCCTGGCTTGAGCCAGCTCTTCTCTGATTGGCTGGCTGACCAACCAGTGAGCTTTGGGGGGGCTTTCCTGCTCTCTGAAGGGCCTGCTTGGCCTGTGCTCTGGGTGGGAGGGGAGGACATGTGGATGCTCTGGCCAGCCGGGTTCCCCACTTCCCTGCCCTCTCCCCTGGGGCTGCTGGCCGTCCTTGGTACTATTTCTTGAGTGCAGCCCCCAGGGCATTATGGCTCTCAGACTCCTTGTGCAAAAAGAGTCAAAACCTGTACCCGGGACCTCTTAGCCCATGTCTTCGGGCTTCAGGAGGCCACCACCAGCAGTGGTGGCAGGCAAGGGAGGGCAGTGGGAGCCATCTCTCCAGACCTCTTGGGGTGAGGGCAAGGTGAAGCCAGCCTGTCTGCTGTCCAGCCCCCGAAGCCAGCATGCACAGAGGGACCAGTCTGGCCATGCTGGGGGGGTAGGTTTTTACAAACTCCTCGTCTCTTTGTGGCCCAGGACACACCCCCCACGGAGCTGCATTTTGGGGAGGAGTGGTTCCACAAGAAAGTAGAGAAGAGGACGAGTGCCGAGAAGCTGCTGCAGGAATACTGTGCAGAGACGGGGGGCAAGGATGGGACTTTCCTTGTGCGGGAGAGCAAGACCTTCCCCAATGACTACACCCTGTCCTTCTGGTAGGGGCATGCCACCTTCCCCTCGCAGCTGGCCGGGTGGGGGGGCCCATGTGGCAGGTTGTGCGAGCGAGCTCAGGCCTAGACCCGAACCCCAGACTTCATTGAGGGGTCCATGCGGGGTAGGGGTGGGCCAAGGCTGGTGAGGCTCGAAAAACTTAGCAGTAATCAAGATTAGTGATATTTCAATGCAATATTTTTTAAAAATTAGAGGTAATGAAAAATCCACGATGAACACATTATCATCAATGTTTTAAATAAAGACAGGATCTAACTCTGCACTAAAGACAATGTGACCTCACTCACACCCCAACCCCCTCACTAGAGCAGGTGGCTGCCCCTGGGTAAGTCACTGAACCTCTTGAAATTTCCGTTTCCTTGTCCCTAAAATAGAGATTCTAAAGGTGGCTTTATGGAGCTGTCTTCAGCTTACTCACTCACTTACTTAGTACCTTCATTCATTAAAAGTTTTTTTTTTAAGATTTAAAAAATGTATTTATTCATAAGAGACACACAGAGAGAGGCAGAGATATAGGCAGAGGGAGGAGTAGGCTCCCTGCATGGAGCCTGATGCAGGACTTGATCCCAGGACCCCAGGATTACCACCTGAGCCAAAGGCAGATGCTCAACCCCTGAGCCACTCAGGCTCCCCCATTCATTAAAGGGTATTGGTTGAGTGATTGCTCTGTGCTGGGTGCAGGAATCAGACAGACGGGATGTCCTGATGGAGACTAAGTCTGGTCAGGGAGATAGACAGTGAAAAAGGAATCAATGATCTATAATTGTAGCTGTGATAAGTGCAGTGAGAAAAATGGTAGACGTTATAGAAGTCCGTAAGAGAGGGAAGGTAACGTCAAGGGCGACAGTGATCAGGGAAGACTTCCTGTAAGAAGTGGTGCTTAAATGAAGACTGGAGGGGATCCCTGGGAGGCTCAGAGGTTTGGCGCCTGCCTTTGGCCCAGGGCGCGATCCTGGGGTCCCAGGATTGAGTCCGGCGTCGGGCTCCTGGCATGGAGCTTGCTTGCTTCTCCCTCTGCCTCTGCCTCTGTCTCTGCCTCTCTCTCTCTATCATAAATAAATAAATAGATCCTTAAAAATAAAATGAAGACTGGAAGGATTATAACATTATAACAGCATACGGCTACGGCTATAAAACACTGACAGCTAACACCTACAGGATGCTTGCCACGTGCCAGGCGGCATTCTAGGCACATTTTGTGTGTGATCAGTCCTCAGGACAGCTCAGTGGGGACGGACCGCAAAGATGATAATGTGGAGGCCCGGAGAGGACAGGCCGCTTGGTTCAGGGTCATTTCAGCACTTAAAGGGCTGAGTCAGGATTTACCCCTAGGTCATCTGGCTCCAGAGTAGGAGTTATGTAAGTGAATGTAGGTGGGGGGAAGTAGGTAGAATGTTCTGGAATCCAGGTTAAAGGACCAGCCTGCGCCAAAGCCCGAGCCTGTTCTAAGAGCAGAGGGAGGGCTTTGGGGCCACACACGGTGCCTACCCGTCATGGCCCTGGCTGCAGATCTGGCCACCCGCCACCCTCACCCCCACCCCCACCCCGGTGCGAGGACGGCCAGGGGGCCCGGCCTCGGGGCTCATGTCGTCTCTCCCTCCAGGCGGTCCGGCCGCGTCCAGCACTGCCGGATCCGTTCCACCGTGGAGGGGGGCACCATGAAGTACTTCCTGACTGACAACGTCATGTTCACCAGCATCTACGCCCTCATCCAGCACTACCGCGAGACCCACCTGCGCTGCGCCGAGTTCGAGCTGCGGCTCACCGACCCTGTGCCCAACCCCAACCCCCACGAGTCCAAGCCGTAAGTGTGCCCGTGCTCTCGGGGCCGCCGACCTCAGGCACTGACCCCACGGGTTTAGGGGGTGCAGACACCCCCGCGGGCTGTGTTCGCCCATCAGAAAAGCCAGCCTTGTGGGTCCCCTGGGATCTCTTCAGCCCCCGGGATGGCCAGTCCCCAAGCACCTGCTCTACTTTCTCTTGCCCTCTGCCTCCCCCTGCCTTTCTTCTACTTTACCTTCACCATCCTGCACTCTTGGCTTTGATTTTCAAAGGGGAGTGTTGGCCCGGTGATAACTTTCTGCTTGTCGAGGCTCATTCCTGTTCATTGTGAAAGTGAACAAGAAGAAAGTCACTGTGCAGATTTCCCCTTCATTTTTTTATCGAGTAAAATGTATACAAGTTATGCCTTGCAAGGGGCTGACCAACTCTGGAAATAAGAGGGGGAAACTATGTTTAAGCAGAAGGCTGCTAAAATGTGCATTTCTGACAAGCCTTGTAGCTTCCAGCAGCTTTCTTACTTTTGTCTGTATTCGTGCAGTTGGCCTTTTAAAATTTGCTGTTTCATATCTTTAAAAGTAACCAAGGATGAGCCAAACAAAAAGACCTTCCCAAAACACTGTTCTCTGTGTTCTCTGCCACCGATTTTCTGAGACTCTCCGCAGTGACTGATGCTGGCCCTAAGTTAGGTGGATGGGGGCAGGGGATGGGGTACAGTCTCTCATGCTCCCAGAAGACCCACTGTGTGAATGCTTTAGCTGAGCTACATCTTGGTGGTCTTTTAAAAAATTGCTGTCTTGAATGGTGTTTTGGGGTGGGGAGGCCCTCTGTGTAATTTCCATGGTGGTTTCTGGGACCCCCTTCCAGGCAGCATCAGAGCCCAGGGCTTCCTCCTCCCTGGGTGGCCCTCTCACCTGGCTGTCTTCTTTGGGCTGCAGGTGGTACTACGACGGGCTGAGCCGTGGGGAGGCAGAGGACATGCTAATGAGGGTGCCCCGGGACGGCGCCTTCCTGATCCGGAGGCGAGAAGGTACCGACTCCTATGCCATCACCTTCAGGTGAGCGGGCGGGCCGGAGCCTGCACATGTTCGCCAGCGGGGGCCTGGGAAGGACAGGTGTGTTGGAGGGGGGTGCTGCAGGTGGAGATGTGCCTCCGCGTCCGCTCCCAGCAGGTCAGTAGTGATGATGATGGCAGTGGTGATAGCAGAAGCGGCCTCCGCTAATGGGAGCTTTCAGCATCTGGGGCACTGGTCTGCGTTCTTGAGAGTAGCATGTGTTAACACGTCCTATCTTCCAGCAACTTGATGACTTTGATCCTTATTGTTCAGAGGAGGAAACTGAGGCATAGAGAGGTTAAGTAACTTGCTGAAGCATGCAGCCAGGAAGTGGTGGATTTGGGATTTGAACCCAGGCAGCCCAGGTCGATGATGTCACAGACCTGCTGTCCTACCATCTGCACTTGCTGCCCAGCTCGAGCAGCAGGAAGGCCATATGGACCAACCATCTCTAGGACTGTGATTCTCCACTTTAATTCCACCCTAAGACCCCTGATGCCTCCAGTTTCAGTGTTTGGGGGAGGGGTGGGTTCAGACCCAGTTCATCACACTGTCCCTCCGTCTCCTCTACCCCAATGTATTGGGGTGTATTAAGTTCCTAACTAATGTTCCAGACACTGGGCTACCTTTGAGGCTTCATCTGGCTGAGTGCTTTATTGTAGCCCACGAGGGGGAGATCCGGCGCTACATGTAAGGAAAGGAAAACCCAGAGAGGCTAAGCGACCTGTCTAGTGCCACACAGCCTAGTCCTGGCCCAGGGGAGAATCTCAGACTTGGGTTTCTCCATGTTCAAAGCCTGCTTTCTTCACTGTGAGGTCTTAAGAGGCTTCTGGGTCGAGCCTATGGATGTTTTTTGCTCAGCCTGCATGGTTATGTTGAATACTGAGAAATTTCTCTTGAAAATTTAGATTTCTTCTTAGGAAAACTGGGAAGAAGTGGAAGCTCTGGACCCACTTTTGCAAGTGGTGGTGATAGTTACCAGCTGCACAGTAGGGGCTCTGATGGCGCGAGGGCTACTCCCATTCCTTCCATTCCTATTGCCCTGGTGCATCCCCTGTGGTGACCCTGCCAGGCCGCATTGCCCCCTGCCACCTCGGGCATTTGGGTTTGACCCCCCCTCCTTTATTCCTGCCTTCTCAGGTGAGTGGATGGTGGTGGCAGTGATGGTTGTTATCATTGCCATTGACCGAAGACCCACTGTGTGTAGCTCCAGCCAGTGTGGCTCTTCGATGCTTTGTGCTCCCAGCAGGGTGGCTCTGGACTACTTGGCCTTGGTGCCTCTGCCCTTTGCCCAAAGCTCTTGGGGGTGCCACCTCCCCTCAGATGGGATTAGGCATGTTTAATGAGCATCTGTTGTACCAGCCACCGTGTTGGGGATTGAGTGGTGTTGTAGTTCTGTTGATCAGTCAGGATGCTTTTGGGTGCAAGTGACAGAAGCTAAACTCAGTGGCCAAGTGAGCATAAAAGGTGGCATTTATTGGCAACTAGCTGACATGCTCAATAGGTGAACTGGCTTCCAACAGGCCTGGATCCACGCTTCACCTGGCAGTCCTCAGAAGACTGGTTCTGTGTGTCTTGGTGCTGCTCTCCGTTGGCTTCACCTTGGGTGCCCGGACAGCATCTAGTAGAAAAGATGAGTCCTGTGATACATCCATCCCACTGATCCCTGCTTGAGCTGGGTGTCATGGTTCTGATTGGGTACCTTCAGGCTGGCCATGGATTGCAGTCACTTCCCTGGAACCATGTGGATGAAGATGGGATCCCCAGATTGATGCTTAATTTTATACGTCCACCATTCTGTTTGCACATCTGTCCTCCCCATGAGATTGGTGGTACTCTAAAAGATGGAGTCTTTAAATTTTAGAGATCGGTAAATGTTCAAATGTTCAGTGAACATCTACTATGTACCAGGCTCTGTGCTGGGCTCCAAAAAATACAGAAGGGATAAAAACCACCCAGTCATTGCTCTCATGAGGTCAATAATCTGCTGAGAACAAGAGATGTCCTGTTAGTCACAAATGTTTGTTTTGGAAAAAAAAAAAACAACAAAACAAGTGTTTTGAGCAGTTCCCTCTACCAAGCGTTGGCTTGCCAACAGCAGGTGGTCAGTACATGCTGGCTGAATGAGCCAGTGACAAGGTCATGGTGTCTCAAAGAGGGAGGAGGAGAAGGCTCTTTGCATTGTGTTGGGATGGTGAATGTCCCTGGTCTCCATCCATGCATGCCTGTTGGGGGAACTTGGTCATTGTAATAGTCACAAATGACCCTCCTCCCCCTGCCTGGACACACAGACTCTTTCAAACTCACTGTGGTCAAGGTGTGGGGTGGGTGTCACTGTTCTCCACTGAGAATTGTTGCTTAGGGTGAGTCAGGCTCATAAACACATTGTCGTGAGATTGTGTGGTAAGTGCCATGGAGAGTGGTCAGAGGGAGACCGAGGGTGAGCAGGAGCTCCAGGGGAACCAGGTGGGGATGTGCTCCAGGCAGAGGGAGAGCATAGGTCTTCAGGGATCTTCCCTCCCTCTCCCCCTCCCCAGTATCTGTGGAGTACCTCTCCTGTGCCAGGTGCTGTTCTAGGCTCTGAGAACAGAGACTGAACTTCTGGGTAGATCTCTACAAGAGAGGACAAGTGTCTGCCTTCAAGTCCATGCAGAGAGATGAAGCTACTGTCTAGGTGTGATCAGTGGGAAGCGGGTCTCAGGGGGACATGGGAGCAGGGGCTGCTTGGCAGAGCTGAATAAGAGCTCGGGTCACAGCGTCCACAGGCTTGTAGTAGCCAGGTGGCTGGAAAGTGCAGTTCACACTCAGCCGTTCCTGTCTCCCTTTTTGATTTTTCTCTTGCCCAAGAAGCTCATTCTGGCTTGACCTTGGTTATATTTTCCTAACCATTTATTTATCAAGTACCCTCGGGATGCTGGACACATCCTGGAGGGCTTACCCTGGGCTGTCAGATGGCGGGCCTAACACTTGCCATGAGACAGGAACTCTCAATGCTCGGCACTGTGGACAGGGAAGCAAAGTTTCACTCAGGTTACCAGAAGGAACCAGACCCTGACCCACACTCTTTTTTTTAAATAAAGATTTTATTTATTTATTGATGATAGACACAGAGAGAGACAGAGACACAGGCAGAGGAAAAAGCAGGCTCCCTGCGGGGAGCCCAATGCGAGACTCGATCCCAGGACCCCGGGATCATACCTTGAGCCAAAGGCAGATGCTCAACCACTGAGCCACCTTGTGCCCTGACCCACACTCTTTAATTAAACTCAATACACTAGAGCCTCCTTGCCCAAGGGAGCTTTTGTAAAAAGTTTAAAATTTCTTAATTATGTAAATATATTCTTAGAAAAAATTAAGACATTGCAGTAGAGGCTAAGCCCCTCATTGCCCTTCTCATCTGGGTCCTTATCTTGGTAGAAAGCAGTTTTCTAACTGGTGTCTCCATGTGGACCTCAAAAAAAAAGACTTCCATTTATATGATGTACCTGTGGAAAATACTGTGCCATTTTATATGTGGAAATTCCTTTGCATTAAAAAAAAATACCAATGGGATCATACTATAGTTTCATCTTGTAACTTGTCTATTCAGCAGTGTTTTGTGTTTTGTTTTGTTTTTTTTTTTTTTTTTAAGAGAAATACTTAAAATATCCGTGCAAATAAGCCACTGAGGCAGAAATGTAGCACTTTTTTTTACAGGACATATTGAAGAAATGGCTTAACGGGATATGTTTTTTAAAGCAAAAAGTGCCTTTAAGGTGCAGAGTTTTTATATTTATGTATTTGAGAGAGAGAGCACAAGCTTGAGAAAGGAGGCCTCATGCCCAGCATGGAGCCCAACAACAGCTCGATCTCACCACCCTGAGATCATGACCTGAGCTGAAATCAAAGAGTCAGGCGGTAAACCAACTGAGCCACCCAGGCATCCCTTTAACATGCAAAATTTTTAAAAGATGAATAGTTCACCCATGGTAATTATGCCTTTATACATTTTAAGAAGATGCTCTTTGGCTGTAAAGTTAGGGTCAAAATTGACTTTCCCAAATGTTTCTATCCTTGCTGATAAAAGCTAGTATTTTTTTTTGATACAAGAGATATCAATAGGATGAGGCAATAAAAGATTGGTTTGCTTTTTGGGGAAAAAAATTCCATGGTTGTTGTAGTTGGGCCACTGAAGATAAGATTTGGGCATCAAATGGCAGTCTTCTAGAGGAGAGATCAGCAGACATTCCCTGTAAAGGACCAGAGGATAAATATCATAGGCCTTGCGAGCTGTGTGGCTTCTGTTGTAGCTACTCAGCTCTGCCGCTGTAGGATGAGCGGCCACAGGCCACACGGAAATGGATGAACGTGGCTGTGTTTCAATAAAACTTTACTTATAAAAGTGAGGGTGGAAAGGGGGTATAGAGTGTGGACTAGATTTGGCCCCTGGTCGTTGTTTGCAGAGCCTGACCTGGACACCAGGACTTTCCCAAAGTCAAGTCCTGTAATTGGGGGGCGGGGAGCGGGCTGACAAGAGGAGCTGGTGGTTGAGTCACTTAGTATTTTTGTAAGAAACAGCTTTGTATTCTGTAGGACGACTCAACCTTGTTTGTATACCTGGTCCCCTGAGGATGGGTAACTAGGTTGTTTCTGATTAGCGGAGCTCATATAACAACTGTTTGGTTTTTAGGATTTTGGTTGTCAGCCTGTGTGGTCTTTCCCCCTCCAGGGCCAGGGGCAAGGTGAAGCACTGCCGAATTCACCGGGATGGCCGGCACTTTGTGCTGGGGACCTCTGCCTACTTCGAGAGCCTCGTGGAGCTAGTCAGCTACTACGAAAAGCACGCGCTCTACCGAAAAATGCGACTGCGCTACCCCGTGACGCCTGAGCTCCTGGAGCGCTACAATATGGTAGGTGGCTGAACTCACTGTGGTTTGGTGGAAGGTCACTCACCTGCCTGTTCATTCAGTACTTTCCTGAGCACTTACTGCATGTCCAGTACTGCTCTAGGTCCTAGGGACAGAGACCCTGCCTTCATGCTGCTTTCAGTCTAGTGTAGGGGAGACACCATAAATGAGATAAATTAAAACAACAACAACAACAACAACAGATGTGTCAGATGGTGACACATACTATAGAGAAAAACTGGGTAGGTGGAGACCTGGATACATGATGCTGTAGTTCTGGAAGGGTGCTCTGGAAGGAACTTCCTGGGAAGGAAGTGTTTGAACAGATGCTAGAGTTGGTGAAGGAGTGCGCCATGCAGCCATAGAGCAGAAGGAGAACAGCAAGTGCAAAGGTCCTGGGTCCTATGCCTGGAGTCACAGAAGAAGCCAGCGTGGCCAGCATTGAGTGAGCCAGAATGCGGGTAGATCTCATTAGGGACATGGCTCACAGAGGACTGCATGGTGCTGGCCAGGCCCCTGGGAGACGCTGGCTTCTATTCTGAGCCACTGGAGGGTTCTGAGCAGAGATCAGACCTGATCTGATTACCATGTCTCCATTCCCTGTCACATGGATTCATTAATGCCTTGAAAAGAGATCCAGGATACACCAGCCATGGGCCAGGCCTGATTCTAGCTCCTGCAAGTGTGGTGGACCATAGCCTGCCTTGGGAAATTGAGGTTCTGGGCAGGGGAGCTGACACCTAAAGATGACGTCCCAGGCTGCGCAGATTCAGCGAAGCAGATAGAACCGGCAAGGTGCTGCTGGGGACTGCAGCCGGGAGGTCGGAGGTGGCCTCCTCGGGCGGCTAGAACCGGAGCCCAAGCCTGACAGGGAGCGGCGGGGCCGGGGGCGGCTGGGGGCAAGTTGGTTCTGGGGTGAGGGAGCGGCTGTGGCACAAGCCCGGGGGTGACTCAGAGGCAGTGACAGAGCAGGAGAGAGGGCAGGTGTGCTGGTAGGTGCGTCCCCTGTCTGGGTTTGCGGCCTGTGCCCGTTTCCAGTCATCGCCAGGGCCTGGGCGTCCAGAGACCCAGAGTGGCTCCAGCATGCCGCCGGCTCTCAGCGTGTGTGCTGTAGCGAGGGAGCATAGTGCCTGGCACAGAGAAGGCCAGCACAGGGGTCTCTCCCATTTGGGGTGCAATTTCCAAGTTTTGGGGAGCTTTTTAAATGGCTTCTTTCCATCTCTACGAAGAGGCATGAGTGGACTGGGAGATTTCCACTCTTATGCCAGGGGGTGGCCTAGAAGCCTTGTTCTGTGCACCCTCACCCCCTCCCTGAACTTGGATGCTTCCATTTATTTTGCTTTGTTCTTTTTCAGGAAAGAGATATAAACTCCCTCTATGACGTCAGCAGAATGTATGTGGATCCCAGTGAGATCAATCCTTCTATGGTACAGTGCCACCCGCCCCCTTCATACCATTACCTGGTCCCTGCCCCACCGCCCAACCCCCCAGCATTACAGGGCAAGGGAACTTCTGGGCAAACTTGCCTCCCCCCAATTTATTTTTAAATTAAATTTAATTATTTTATTTTTAAATTAAATTATTATTATTTTTTGAGAAGAAATGATTGACAGTGTGACATCTAGTTTCAGGGAAGAGGTTAATAGAATTCCACGTGAAAGCGACTGTGCCTTGCTAAAAAATTCTGAGGTTTGATGAACCACCTTTGGGCCAAACGACTTCTAATTAAAAATCTTTCAAATGTTTCTTGCTCACTGACAGAGCCTGTGGTGTTTATAAATTCAGTTTGGTTCACCGACCTCCTTGCAGTGTGCACGTTATCTCCTGTTCCCACCCTGGCTGGTGTGTGATTTCACACAGGTCGGGGTGGGTTTTTGCTCTTGGCCCCCAGCTCCTCCTCGCTCTGGTTCCAGCTCACTCGTAGTTGGAGCCTGCATAGGAAGAACGATAGTGAATTTTCTGTTGGGAGGGTGCATCTGGTGCACCGTTCACGTACCCCTTCTTGTTAAGGAAGGGGCCCTGCTCATGGGCTCTGGGGATATCCAGAGATGAATTTTTCTTTCTTTCCCCATCTTTTTTTTTTTTTAATTTATGGTCCTCGGCTAATGCCAGTCCCTTCTAGCAAGAAATGAAGACTTGGAAGGATGTGGGCAAGTGGAGTGTGTGTGTGTGAAATGATGAGGAGACTTTTATTAGAAGTAAAGAAGGCATTGGTAGCGAGGCTGACAGGGCTGCCTGTCAGCCGATGTCCAGGATGGTACAGACTGGTAAACTGAGGAACTCACACCCCATCTTAAGGGCAGCTACGTATATCCTGTTTGCACAGAATTGCTGCCTTTCCAGAGTGCAGGCCAGGTCTCCTGGTTTCTCACAGCAAGCCAATAATCTGAATATTTTATGTGAATTCTCCCCATTTCTAAATCCTGGCAACTAACCCAAGTGATAGAGAAAACTTCCAAGCACTAAGTGAGACAAGTAAAATACGATGGTAGTTGACTTTGATTGCAAGCTGCCAGACTGTGGTGAGTGCCTCAAAATAAAATCATTGCTATTATTGTGATTGAAAATCATTTAACCATTAAAAAAAAAAAACTACTTTGAAAACAAGGCAAATAGCCCTGGTCTCCATATGCTCACTCCCTCACTGTCTCACTCCATTCCTGGGTCTTTGCCTGCACAGAGATCTCTTTTACAGTTGTCCCCCCCACCTATCCACACCTGCCATTTTTCTGTTTCATTCACCCTTTGGTCCTGTGTGGGTTTCTCCATTGCTGATTTTCTTCATGACCATTCTTACTGAAACTGGTGAGCCGAGTACTTTAGGTGACACACGTGCATTACAATTTTAACTTAAAGAGTGTTTTTTAAAAATTAATTAACTAGTTTGAGAGCGAGAGTGGGAACATAAGCAGGGAGGAACAGAGGGAGAGGAGAGGGAGCCCCGTGGGGACTCAATCCCTCGACTCCAGGATCATGACCTGAGCCAAAGGCAGATGCTTAACCAACTGAGCCACTCAGGTGCTCCTCAACTGATTTATTTCTGAGCTCAGCCACTTAACAGCTGGTTGACCTTGGGCCGATCCCCATCCCTGCTCCCTGGTGACTTTGGGGCTCCTTTGCAGTGCAGTGCAGCCTTGCAGATGGCACTGTAACATTGGGCTGAAGCCTCCTGTTCCCTCATGAGAACCGAGGCAGATGCCTCTCCCTGCTTCTGTCGCCCAGCCTGACCTTCTCCTTCTTGTCTTCCCCCTCCGAAAGCCTCAGAGAACCGTGAAAGCTCTGTATGACTACAAAGCCAAGCGAAGCGATGAGCTGAGTTTCTGCCGTGGGGCCCTCATTCACAACGTCTCGAAGGAGCCCTGGGGCTGGTAAGGCTGAGGGGGGCTGGGCCTCTTGGAGGATGAACTTGACCTCTCCCTTCTTGCAGGTGAGGCTCAGGTGCTAGCTGAGCTCTGACCCCCTTTCTCTGCTGTTCTGGGCTGTCTTTGTACCTTCACTGAGAAGGTGGCTTGATACATACTCTATTCAGAAAAGCAGTTAAGAACCATCTTTCACATCCTGTTCTATGCTATTTTATTTTATTTTTTATTTTTTTTATAATAAATTTATTTTTTATTGGTGTTCAGTTTGCCAACGTACAGAATAACACCCAGTGCTCATCCCATCAAGTGCCCCCCTCAGTGCCCGTCACCCATTCACCCCCATGTTCTATGCTATTTTAGTTATAACAGCACCTACCACCTCCTGACGCCTTCCCCCTGTGCTAATTGCTTTCATACATGGTCTAAGCAGACGGTCATTACAACCCTCAGAGTCGACTATGCATATCCTCACTAACAGAAAGAGCAAATAGGGCTTTCTAAGATTGTACAGCTACTAACTGGGGCAGGCTCTTCCTATTACTCGAGCCTCTATGTTATTTTATATTAAAATTCTTATGCTATTGCTTGGTCCTGTGCAGTGGCCCCAGCCTGGCATGAAGCAGGGACATTTTTAGACTAGAGGTACCTAGATGTGTGCCAGAGTTCAGTTACATCTCCTCCCTTTCCACCTGGGAAAAAAAATTTGCTGCCCATCCATAAGTCCTGGGTAGGTGGTTTTGCAGGATTCTTTTCTTTTCTTTTTTAAGATTTTGTTTATCTATTCATGAGAGACACACAGAAAGAGAGAGGCAGAGACACAGGCAGAGGGAGAAACAGGCTTCATGCTGGGAGCCCGACGTGGGACTCGATCCCCGGTCCCCAGGATCAGGCCCTGGGCCGAAGGCGGCGCTAAACCGCTGAGCACCCGGGCTGCCCATTGCAGGATTATTTCTTACTGTAAAGCAACAAGTACCTGCAAGATAGCTGGACCTGACTTAGAAATCTGAATGGCAGCTTGAATCAAGTGCTTCTTTGTGTCAAGAACCATTTAAACACTTCATCTGAAATAGCTCATTTAAACCCACACAGTGACCCTGAAAGGCTACCTGCATTTTACAGGTGAGGAAACAGCGGCATAGACAGGTACACTAACTTGGCCAGGGCCACACAGCAGGCTGAGATTTGAGTCCAGGCCTTCTGACTCCAAAGCCGATACTTCTCTAACTTGACTCATGTACAAGGTTTAGGGGCTTTCTTTCTTTCTTTCTTTCTTTCTTTCTTTCTTTCTTTCTTTCTTTCTTTCTTTCTTTCTTCCTTTTCTTTTTTTTTTTTCTTAAAGATTTTATTGATTTATTCATGAGAGATAGAGAGAGACAGAGACATAGAGGGAGAAGCAGGTTCCCTGAGGGGAGCCTGATGCGAGATCCGATCCCTGGACCCCAGGATTATGCCCTGAGCTGAAGGCAGATGCTCAACCACTGAACCACCCAGATAAACCCGGTTCAGGGGTTTTCAAAGTTTTTTTGTTTGCTTGTTTGTTTTTTTGAGCATGCCGTCTTTCTAATCCACATCTTAATCTGGGTCCCCCAAGTTAAAAAAAAAAGAAAAGGAGGTAACAACAGAGTGATGTGCTAAAGCTACAGGTGGGGGCCTGGCGCTCCTGTCTGCCCCCCCACCCCCACCCCCTGGTAGCCCTGGAGCTCCTGCCTGTAGACTCCCACCCTCAGCTTGCCAACCATGGTGTTCACCTGCCTCTCCCTGAGGGCCATGGCCAGAGTCTGGGTCTCCCCTGGACCCGTGATGGCCCTTTCTGTACCCTGCGTCTCTTGGGGTCCTGGTTCTGTTTGTGTGGGTGACTTTTACCAAGTTGTGGGTAGATCTCTTTAAATCACATTCTTTTCCATGTGTGAAATAGCCTCATACCTTTTCACATGTCTCATGTGGAGTGCTCTCAATTTCCAGGGCTCCTGAGATGGGGTGAGGGCCTGGTGTAAGTGCCTTTGGTGACAGGCTGTGGGCAAACTGCCCACTGAGATCCCCTCTTTCTTTCACTCTGGTGGCAATAGGACCACCTAGTGGCTGCATCAGCCACTTTGTGTGCATCCGCTCAGCCTAGGTCCAATACAGCTGAGGCATTTTTGTCCAAACTGGGATGTGTTTTAGAGCAAAAGGAATGCTATTGTTAATAATTATCCCTGGACAAGAGGTATGAACTTAGTTCTGGGCAAACGGTACATATGGTCACCCGGGATATGGCCAGTCTTTGCCTGAAAGGGGTCTGGAGAGTCTGGCAGTCTTGTATTTCCACTAGGCCATGGGATAGTCGGTCCTCACTCTGCTTGCTCAGATCAACAAACATTCACTAAATGCTTCCCACCACCCCAGAGTACTGATTTGATTAAGGTAGAGAAAGATCTCCCATAGCAGGGAAGACAGAAGTAGAAGCTAGAATAAAGGTACAGACTGCCTCCACAGCTGTGGGGACAGATCCCACAGGAGCACGGAGGAAGAACACTCAGCCCAGGCAGCAGTCAGGGAAGGCTCCCTGGAAGAGGCATGCCTGAGTTGAGTCTCAAATGGTTAGTTAAGGACAAGCTGAATACAAAGGACATGGACCATGGCGTGGAAGCAAGACAAAAGGGTGGGGGCAACAGGCTCTCTGGGATGAGCGTCAAGTGTGAGACTTAGAGAGGCAAGTCCAAGAGTCTCTGGGGGCAGGCTAAAGCATCTAGGCTTGATTTTGAAGGCTTTGGGAGCTGAGTGGGTGTGGCACGGTCAGAGATGCATTCTGGAAAGAGCCCCCTGGCTGTAGAGGGTGCCCACAGGTGGGCAGTTGGAAGGAGTGGCCTTGTGTGCCTAGACACTACTTTGGGGGAAAAACCTAAGAGGGGACCACAGGTTGGTGGAGTGGAGATACATAGATCAGTTATGTCCCTTGTTATCATTGCTGTCACAGAGGAAAGGAGGGGGGGGCAGTATTTTAGTCGAGTAGTAAGAACGAACAGTATTTGAGCACTTACTGTATACTTCAGGTGCTGTCAAAAACACTCCACATATGTGGAATCCTCTGGTCCCAGTAAAATCCTTTGAGGGGGGCACTGGGATTATTCCCATTTTACAGTTGGTGCTGGAGCTGGAATTTGATTGCAGGCTGTCTAGCTCCAGAACCTTCCTTATCTCGCACTCTTAGCTCTAAGTTCACAGCCCTCCCTGCAGTGGCGTTGAGCCTGCACTAGAGCATTTGCCTCCGATATCCCCCTAAAGCGTTGAAAACTTTTGGTGTCTTTGACCAAACATTAGAATCACATTCTGGGGAGGACACTGACCCTCCACTCACTCATCGCTCATTAAAAGAAGCAGAGGAGCACTTTGAAATGTTCCATTGTCACAGATAATGATCACCACCTCCAGCCACCTTTCCCCCACCAGCAGAGGTGAGGGATCGTTAACAGCTGCCCACGAAGGCCCTCCAGTGCCCTCTGTTTTCATCTAGGTGGAAGGGGGACTATGGAACCAGAATCCAGCAGTACTTCCCATCCAATTACGTCGAGGACATTTCAACAGTCGACGTGGAGGAGCTGGAGAAACAGGTGAGTGTGGGCCACTGCACCGGGAGACCTGCCGATCCTTCTCGGAGGAATCCGCTGAGCCCGTCTCAGCAGGACGTGCTACTCATGCGGTCGTGTGGTCCCTGCAGAGCAGTCCCAGTTGTCGTGGGTAAAAGTCACTGCGACAAGCCTGTCATGTTTTAATCAGGTTGTGCTGGGCTGGAAGGCTTTGCATGGGCTGGAGGATTCCCTCTGGAGTGAAAATGGCCAAACGGGGAATTTGTCCTTTGCTTAAAGCAGCTTGCAAATGAAACACATTTAGTTTGGCCGCCAGACATTCCGGACGTGCCTGGTGTGAGTAAGCAGGTGGCAGTACGCGGCGGCGGATCGAGGCCCTCCTGGTGACATTGCAAACCTGGTTTCTGTTCCCTGGCCTCTCTTCCCCAGAGGACTCAGAGAGCATCCGCTGTTAGGTGACAGCGCTGTCCCAAGGATGGGCTCTTTGTAAGAAGGATCCCAGAGGCTTTCTCGAGCCCAAGACATTTCCCGAGGGACTTAGGGCAGGCGTGGAAGACTGCATGGAGTAAAGGACATTTGAGCCTTAGAAGTCAAGTGAGAGATCAGTAGCCAGACCTGCAGAAGGGGATTCCAGGTGGGGATGCAGCCTAAGCAAAGGTGTGGTGGTAGGAACGTGGCTGTGCTCAGCGTGCTGGGCCCAAGGCAGGGATGCGGCCTTCACCCCTACAGCAAGCGTTACCCTGGTTGGGGGGTGGGGGTGAGGGTCACAGGGGCAGCGGCCAGATACAGTTCAGCCAGCTGTCCCAAGGGCAAAATATTCTCTGTGCACCCAGACCCTGGGATGCGTCAAAATGGGCAGTGGGAGGTGGAGCTGCCAGGCTGGCCAGGGCCTGGAAAGCCTTAAAGCAGATCCCAGAGCCTGGGCATTTCGCCCCACCCCTAGGACATGGGAAGCCGCAGAAGGTTCTTGAGCTGGGCTTTAGGAGGCTAGATGGTCCCTCTTCATAATAATGTCAGAATAAGGGTTTAGAATGTTTTTTTGAAGCCAGATCCATGGAAGTGCTTCAAAACCTGTTCTCAAATTCACTGGGCTCATTTTTACAGACTGGAAAATGAACCACTGAACCTGCTGGCACCTGCTCACTGCTGGGTCCCCGTCAGCAACATGCTTCATTATTTAGCGCTCTCCCCACGGGTGTATCCTGTAATGAAAATGCATTTTAAACAGTTCCACAGGCAGTGTCTCTGCTAAACGGTGTGCCTTGGAAAACTGGTTGTCTTTTTATTATTCCCGTTAAGACTAACGTGAGTTATGTCTTGTTTCTTTGCAGATTATTGAAGACAATCCCTTAGGGTCTCTTTGTAGGGGAATACTGGATCTCAATACCTATAACGTTGGTACGTGTACACATAGTCTGAGCATGGATTCCCACCCACGTCCCCCGCAGCCTAGTGTCAGGAGTGCCCTGGGCAGGGAGGGTCCATCAGTCTGTGGGCCCGTTAGTCTGGGCCAGACCAGGAAAGCCAGCCCCTCTGTGACCATGGGACCTGGCTGGGGTCCCATGGCAAGTTAAGAGATGGAGAAGGGGCTGAGGTACTCGGGGCTGGGCCTTCACCTACTGCTCTTACATTGTCTGCATTATATTTTCAGAGCACAGGCCTATAGCTCAGGGGTTACAAGGAGGGAGCTTAGAATCAGGTTAATTTGAGCCACAGCTTTGTCACTACCAACTTCATATGACCTTCTGTGTGTTACTTTCCCTCAGTGAGCCTGTTCCTTCTCCTGTAACATAAGTATAAAAAGAGTAGCACCTCTGAAAGGTTGTGATTAAATGAGATAGAGTGCGTATAATCCTCTTAAAATATTGCCTAACACACAAGGCTCAGAGATCTTAGCCAATGATATCCAGCAGATCATTTCTCCTCTCCTGGCCTTTTCTTTCTAGAAAATATTTTCTCTGCGGAGAGAGTCTCTCGCATGCCTGTCTCCTAGCTCCTGGTGGCTGTTGGCGCTCCTGGGCTTGTGGCTACAGCACTCCAGGGGCCATCTTTCCTGTGTCTCTGTTTCAAATTTCCCCTCTCCTTTCTCTGGTACGGAGACTAGTTCTTGGACTGGGAAATCCTAAATCCAGGAGGATCTTATCTCAAGATCCTTAAGGATCTCTGCAAGCATCTCATTTCTAAGGAAGGTCACGTTCCCAGGTACGGGGGTTAGGATGCAGACATAAGGTCTCAGAGAACACGACTCAGCCCATTCCAGCTTTCCGGCTGTGATGTAGGGGAAGAGGCCAGACCCCACCTGCCACCAGGCAGACAGCCCGGTCACTGCGGACCAGAACTGTAGCAGCGGCACTTTGGCTGCATACGTGAGAAGGGCGGCGGGGCAGTGTGAAGGCTGGCCTTTCTGACTCAGGCTGCTCAGGACTTTCACTGTTGTCTCCCAAAGTGAAAGCCCCCCAGGGGAAAAACCAGAAGCCATTCGTGTTTATCCTGGAGCCCAAGAAGCAAGGCGACCCCCCAGTAGAGTTTGCCACGGACAAGGTGGAGGAGCTCTTTGAGTGGTTTCAGAGCATCCGGGAGATCACCTGGAAGATAGATACCAAGGTAGGCACCGGGCTCAGCTGGGCTCATTTGGTGGAGGAGGCGGGGGTCAGCCGGGCGGCCTGGGCAGTGGGAGGGGCAGGCCCAGGGCCGCCCAGAACTCAGGGAAGACGTAGAGTGGGTTTGGGCAACAGGTGTGCCAGTCATCATGGAGCGGACAGGTATACTGGCAGTCACCTGGGAAGCACAGTCTAGTTCGAACCTTCAGAAGGCTCAGCGTGTGTGGAGTGCTCAGTGATATTTGGGGCCTGTCTGACCCTGCGTATCTTAACAAGAAGCGTTGTTTCTCACTTTGAATGTTTTCTTGTTGGTAAATGTCATTCAAAGCAGCCTGGGTCCTTCCCCGTAGCACACGTGGCCTGAGCTCACCTCCCAGGACCCGCAGTGCGGCAGTGGGGCCTTGTGCTTGATAGGACCCCAGTGTGTCCCAACACTAGCATATACTCTAAGGGAGGAACTTCTCCCCCAGATGGGAAGGAACACTTCAGGGTTTATCCTAACTGGAGCACTGGTATTAGGTTGGAGGGGTTTTGAGAAGGGTGATGTTCTGGCTAAGAACAGCAGGTTTAGGGATCCCTGGGTGGCGCAGCGGTTTGGCGCCTGCCTTTGGCCCAGGGCGCAATCCTGGAGACCCGGGATCAAATCCCACGTCGGGCTCCCGGTGCATGGAGCCTGCTTCTCTCTCTGCCTATGTCTCTGCCTCTCTCTCTCTCTCTGTGACTATCATAAATAATAAAAAAAAAAATAAAAAAAATTAAAAGAACAGGTTTAGAATGAGGCAGGTCTGGACCCCAGCAAATAACCACGTCTCTGGGCCTCTGCTTTCTGGTCTGTGAAGTGGACCAATACCATAGTCACAGGATGCAGGGAGGATGAAATGAGATGATTCCTGAAGGAGACCAGGCCCTGTGCCTGACATCTAGCAGGGGTCAGGGACAGTCTCTCTGTCCTGCCAGGAGGGCCGGGGCCAGTGGTACCGTATCTCAGATGATGGAGCAAGGCACCGTCTGCTCTATTTTGTGCCTTTCCACAGGCCCTGGTGCTTCTAAGGCAGATCTTGACCCAAAGAACTGATTTCTAAGCTTTCTCAGGACCTCATGGGTTCCTTTGCTGACAGTTGATGATAAGTCTCCCTCCTCCAGAGTCCTGGGAGGGTCACTCCCTGGGGCCTGGTCTTTTCTTCCTCCTTGGTGGGGGAGTGGGCCTCACATCTTGGCTGGTCTCACTTACCCTGGAGTGAAGTCATCTACTTTAGAAGGGTTTCTGTTGTGGTTGGGCGGATGGGCATCTTTCCTGGCAGGGCCTGCCCTCTCCCTGTCCCCGAGTCTAGTCAGAGGCCTTACCTTCTTCCCCAGGCTTGTCACACCCTCTCCAGACACGTGGGACGGACCATGAGCTGGGGGGCCAGCATAGCTGGGCCTGTTTCTGCAGCTGGGGGCAGCTCCTCTCTGCCCTCCTGTTCCTCTGCTGTGGCCCAGGGCAGGGCAGGGGGTGTGGAGTCAGACACCCTGGTCCTGGGGCGCATGTTCTCCTTGATGATTGAACGGTTGTCATCGTGCTCTAGATGGCACCATCAGCTGGCATGTGACGTGACCCTCCTGGGCGTGTTCTAGTATTTGGGATTCCTGCCCCCGCTGAGAGCAGAGAGAGCCCTTAGCCAGTGTTCCTGCAGACCTTGTTCTCAGGCACCCAAGCCTGAGAATGGAGGGTCGGGCTTAGAGGGGAAGGATGCACAGTGGGTCCTGGTGTTCTCGCTTGGAGAGAAATGCACCTTTACTGAGAGGCTCTCCCCTCCCCGCGTGAAGGGTTCTGAAATCAAGCCTGGCTCTGCCAGGCTCCTGGTCTCCGCCTTGGTTTGCATTCCTCTTTCACTGTTTTTTACATCTGCTCATTCTATTGTGTGTGAAGGGGAAGAAAACAGGTCAGCGGAACCCACCAATTCCTTCCCTTCTGGGGACAGCCAGCTGTGGGAGCAAGGGATCCCTCACCACCACCCCCCCAAACCCCCGGCCCTTGAGAAACCCACGCGGTGAACGCTCAGCTCACTGCCGGCCGCTCTCGGCCACACAGCCTTATAGTCCCCATGTGTCCCTGGCCCCCTGCTCCGGGCTCTTGTGATTTTACCATGGATGCCCAAAGACCAGTCACCAAGATCTGTCTAGGTTAGTTTCCAGAGCGTGACCAGTGAAGTGGGCTGTAAGATCAAATTCTGAGACTGCCCCATGGGTTAAACCTGTAGGCCTGGAGAGTAAAGGTTACACGATTATGAAGAAGTAGGATATCTTTTCATCTTGAACAGATGTTTTCTGCTAAGGTTGGGGAAAAAGGGACACCCCCTGACTTGTCATAGTTCTATGCTTTGTTGAGGCCAAATTTCCATAATTCCAAGTAGAACGTGTCCCACCCGCCCTTGTTTTATGCAATTCTGTTGACCTTAGGGGAACACATGTGCGGGGCAGTCAGAGTAGCCATCGTTTGTGGCCTTCCACACACCTGGTGGGGGGCCCTAGGAGGGGAGTACTTTAGTTAGCCAGCCTCATTTTATAGTTGTGGAAACTGAGGCACAGAGAGATTACATGATGTGCTCTCTGGGCACAGAGGGCCAGCTTTTGAACTCATGCTGGATTCCAGTTCCTGCTGTCGTAATCAGGTGGGACAAAGCCTCTCTCACCAGGTCACCACCTGTCACCTGAACACCTGCTACCTCCACGTGTCTCTGTGAGGACAGCTCTAGGCACTAGTGATGAATGGCACCATTCCTTTCCTACTCCTGACTAGAGTTATCCAGGAAAGCTTCCTGGAAAAGGAATGATTTGGGTAGAGGCCAGAAGCAGGAGGTAATCTCGTGGACTGGCAGAGGAAAGATGACAAGGGTATAGGATAAGGGGCAGGAGGTCACTGCTGTGGTTCAGGGGGACCCTGGAGATGAAATCTGGGTCATTTTAGAAAAAATCTTCTCTAGGAGATCATGTGCTGACAAGAGTGAGGCCGAGTGTGGAGGCATCTGGTCTTCTCACTGGCCCGCTGTGGAGTGTGATTCAACCCTGTGTGCTGAAGTTTCTTTGCAAAATGGACACAAGTTCTACCTCTTGGGGGGAGGTGGAGGCTACCCTAAAGTAATATCCATCACGTACTTAGCGTGTGATGCCCAAAGCTGAGCAGCTCTATATATAATTATCTCTCCAAGCTCCCCCTTTGCCAGTGGGAGAAAGAGGCAGGATTTGGTGAGACCTGGGAGAGTTGGCCTGGTTCAGGGTGAAGCAAGTACTCATCCTCACACAGTGGACATCTAGTGGATAGTGCATCCTCCAAGGGGAAATGGCACATGGCTTGGGGCCTGGAGAGAGCCTGTGTCGAGAGCTATGAATGGTGAAGGCAGAGGCCCACTGCAGGGAAGAGGGTACAAGGAACAGCAAGTTCTAACGAGGGTGTGCAGCACCCATGAGGATGTGGGGTCATGGGCTTGGAGAACCCTAAGAGTATGGTTGTAGGGAAATGGATGAGAGCAGAAGGTTGAGAAGAGTGGGATGCTGACAGAGGGGACCCCACCCCCATTCTTGGAAGCTGGGTCCAGGTAGACCCCAGCTCTGGGTGGAAACAGCGTAGGAATTTTGGAAGGCAGGAGAGGAGGGGCAGGGCAAAGGAAAGCTTCCACATGTTTAAAGGATCTGAGCCCTCAGGAAGCCGGAAGGGGGCAAGCGGGTCCCAGGGAGGAGAATGCGGGCCAGCCTCGGGGCTGATGCGGGGGGCTGGTTCCAACAGGAGAACAACATGAAGTACTGGGAGAAGAACCAGTCCATCGCCATCGAGCTCTCGGACCTGGTCGTCTACTGCAAGCCAACCAGCAAGACCAAGGACAATTTAGGTACCGTCTCCCATGGCTTTGCCCCTTGTGTTCATTGAAAACCCTGCTTTCCTTTTGAGTCAAGTGCTGTCAGAAGGCAAGATGAGAGCAGCTCCTGCTCCTTTCCAACTGTTCTTTAAGCAGGAGCCTCCCCTCGAGTTTGTCCTCAGGATGGACGTGCAGCTGAATCGGGCCCTTCTGATATTTTCGGGAGAAAAACTCTTGCAGGAGGTTCATTAGTGTCCCCTTCCTGCTTTAAGGGGTTACAGCAAGCTTCGTGACCAAAGCCAGTGCCTGTTTGTTTGCTCGCAGTCCTGGCAGCTAGAAGTCCAACTTCAGTGTCACTGGGCTGAAGTCCAAGTGCTGACCTGCTCCGTCCAGAGGTTCTAGGGGAGAGCCGCGCCTTGCCTCTTCTGGTGGCTGCCAGCATTCCTTGGCTTGTGGTCAAAAATCTCTACCTCTCTAATACACAGACCCTACGTCTAGGGCCCAGATGATCTCCCCATTTCAGGCTCTTTAATCGTATCTGCAAAGTCCCTTTGCCAGATAAGTTACACAGGAATAAGCTCCAGGAATCAGGACCTGGAGGTCTCTGGAGGCCATTCAGCTTGCCAGAAGCATTCAAAAATGAATCTTCTCAAATTCTCCAAAGGAGCAAGTTTTTGACTTCATAAGAGCCTGTTCATATTTTCTTCCCCCTTTCTTTGATCTTAAGAGTCTGTGATTCCAGGACAGAGGACCAGAGAAACAGCATTGAAAACGAGTTACCAGTCACTGGGCAGCTGGTCCCTCGGTTCCTCCGGCAGAGCTCTGAACTGGACTCCACCAGACTCAGCACGTTTAGGGGCTGGTCACCATAGCTGCATGCTCCTGTACCTCTCCTCCCACCCCTCCCTGTAGAGACAGTCCCTCCTCTCCCATCCCTGCCTGCAGGTAGCAGCAGGTGGTGCCTGGCTCCCTCATCTTGTGTCCACAGCATCTTTAATTGGGAAGCCAGATCCTGAGCTCTCCCCTCCTGCTGATTGCCATGGCCATCCCTGTAATTGTACCAACTTTGGTGTTTTTGGGTACAAGGCTGGTGGGGGTTTTAGTCAAGATGTAAATTACACTAATCCTAGACCAAAAGGGCTGTGGGAATGCTGGGATCCTCGGAGGCAAGGGCCCATAGCGGTACCACTTATGGCAGTAGCATCAGCACCATGGGACTGTCTTGCCTCTGAGGTCCCCGATTTCAGTTTACAACCCATGCATCCAGCCGTTGCAGCAGGCGTTGAGAAAATGCATCAGACAGCATAAACGGTGACTCCCTCTCTGTGTGCAGAAAACCCTGACTTCCGAGAAATCCGGTCCTTTGTGGAGACAAAGGCAGACAGTGTCATCAGACAGAAACCCGTTGACCTCCTGAAGTACAATCAGAAGGGCCTGACCCGTGTTTACCCGAAAGGACAGAGGGTGGACTCCTCCAACTACGACCCATTTCGCCTCTGGCTGTGCGGCTCCCAGATGGTGGCACTCAATTTCCAGACTCCAGGTAAAGGAGCATGGATGGTGGCGTCATTCCAGGCATGGTCAGCTGAGGCCACCAGCATGACCTGCTGTCCCATATCTGTCAGGGCTCACCAAACATGCTAGCATGAGGCCCAGCAGCTGGAGTCAGAGAGTGGCATTTGTATCTGGCAGGTTCTGTGATGGCAGGTGACTGACCGGAACAGGGTGGCTTAAGAGAGAAAGGAGATACTTGAGCTCATGTATTGAAAAAATCCAGGAGTTCTGGAAAAAAAATCCAACTGAGCTTCAGGCACAGCTGGACCCAGGTGTTCAATAGCTATCTTCAGGGAACTCTTCTCCTGGCCCATCCTTCTTTGAGGGCTTCATGCTCAGACTCTTTTGGAGGTGTTCACTGCTGAGAAAATTCAACATGTAAAAACTTTTACACCAATGGCAGCATAAATCACAGCGCTGTGCTCTTTTGTTGAGGGACCTATTCATCAGAAGTCTCCTTTATACTGTTTTAATGCCTGTGTAGGATTCCACTGAATGGAAACCTAATCTATTTAACAGGTGTCCCGCCAGGCACTTCCCTCATTTGCTATTACAGATGGCCCTGTCCTCTGTAAGCTTACGTGAGCACCGCTTCACAGACGGGGGCATCCAGCGTCCAGATGGAACACTCAGAGTGCAGGCCGGGTCCTCCAGCATTGGCACGTGGGCCAGCTTTCCTGAGGAGACCCACAGGACACCTGCACCCTGTAGTTCCTGAGCTCAGATGCCTCACCAGACAGTCCTCCAGAGAAACTATGGGGTGGGAAGGCAAATTGGGAAGATGTTTGAATACACCTTTCCAGCGTGACTTCACCAACCTGGTTTTATCAGACTTTTCAATCTTGGTGCATCAGATAGGTACAAATTGACGTCCCGTTACAGGTAAGGCTTCCCTTATTAGGAGGGAGGTGAACCAGTTTTCCATGTATTTAGGAAGCATTTTCTCTTATGCAAACTGTTCCTGCTTCTTTCCTAATCTCGCTAATGGGGTGCAGGTATTTATAGCAACATTATCAGATCACTTTCGTGTATGGATCTTTCCCGTCATTTTAGTTAAAGTGATTTTTTTTTTCCTGCAGTCTTAAGTGAAATTTAAAAATCAACTCTCAAAAAAGAGATTTAAGAAATTTTGAGCTTTGAGTAGGTTTTAGTGTCAGAATGGTGTTCACCAGTTGGGATTTTTTTGAGATGCATAACTTAACAACTGCCTGAAATTATTTTTGGAGACAGGTGTAAATCACTCCCCACCTAGCACCGCTGGCCCAAGAGGCTACATTTCTTACAGCTGCAGTTCCCTTTCCTTCTCAGACAAGTATATGCAGATGAATCACGCCTTGTTCTCACTCAATGGGCGAACGGGCTACGTCCTACAGCCTGAGAGCATGAGGACGGAGAAGTATGACCCCATGCCACCTGAGTCCCAGAGGAAGATCCTGATGACTCTGTCAGTCAAGGTAACTCAGGCCCCTCTGCCTAGTGACACCTGTCATCTTGTTGAAACCATCGACACCCAGTCAATTGTTTCAGGATCTGAATTACAGTGCACCCTAGGGTCCTAGGGAAGGGACTTGTTCACCTCCCTGTGTGACCTGGCGGGGTGAGGTATGAATTAATCTCTTGCTGGCTTCAGCAGGGTCTCAGCGAGGTCAGCCTCCAGCCAGAGGAAGAGGGAAATCATGAGAAATGGCCATTCATGGAGTAGAGAGTGTGTCTCAGCAGTGGCCAGTTTTAGGGGGTGAAAATGGTTAACATGTTCTCTGAAAGTTGGATGAATTGTCTCTTTATAAGACTTCTGGAAACTATGCAAGGTAGAGATTTGAAATGCATTTATCATACGATTAAGGAAGAAAAAATGCATATGTAATGAAAAGTCTTTTTTTTTTTTTTTTTTTTTTTAAAAAGCCAATTACAAAAACTACCACTTTGTCCTCTGTTCTTTCCTGGGCTGTCTCTGGAGGTACTGTGTGGGCACAGGTGTGTGCATGTCTGTGCTCAGGGGTGATGGCATGAGGGTTCCGATCCCACTTGTCCTCTGCACTCACTCTCCCAGGAAGCAGTGAGGTGTCCACTGCAGGGGGTGGTCAGGGCTGGCTTGGCCCCCCCTAGGGTCTGACTCCAGCCCCCAGGCTGAGCTCTGTGACACACCACCCGCACAGGATGTGCCCATGTTTCCCAGGATGGATCGGGGACAATTCTAGTACCTACGTTTGGTGTCCTAGGTTCTTGGGGCTCGCCATCTCCCCAAACTTGGACGAAGTATCGCATGTCCCTTTGTGGAGGTGGAAATTTGTGGAGCTGAATATGACAACAACAAGTTTAAGACAACAGTCGTGAGTAAGTTGCATCATGTTGGGGGTTTTGTGCATCTTTATTGTCCAGGTCTTTTCCTTCATCTCTCATGCCTGCTCTGGTTCAGCTCGGGGAGGGGGGAACACAGGGCCCCGTGATTAACCAGTGAAACTGGTACCTGGGACTGTTCTGGGCCATGAAGCCGGGATGGTCCTCTTTGGGACCCCTGCGCCCTTTATCTATTGTGTCCAAGGCTAAGCAGCAGAGACACAGAGCGTGTGGCTAACCCACAGGCAGCCCCCTAACCTGGTCATTTTATCCCATAGAGGGAAGTGAGGCTCAGAGAAATGTTTGCTCTTCCATTTGAAGCCAGGAGGAAATGGTCCATGTTTTAACGCCTGGGATCACTGCTCCTGTTGAAAGGCAGCCTGATGAACAACTCACGTGCACACCAGTGAAATGGGCATTTCACAGGGGGTGGCTGGTTCACCCTCTTCAAAGAGCCAGACCCATTTCCCCATGGATGAGTGGAGCAGCTCCCCTCTCTGTGATTGTGATCTCTTCCAAACCTACCTGTTCCTGCTATAGCTCCCCCTCCTTCCATACTCCAGGGAGCCGCGGTGGGAACTGTAGCAAGGGGACGTGGTCTCCTTTCTACGCTTACTAAGGATCAGACCTGTGACAGCAGCTTTACCAGGATTGCTCCTGGAAAAAGTATTTCTTAGGTCTTGGCATAGATGCATATTTATAGGGCTGCTAAGGAGACTCAAAGCCCCTCTAGGGATAATAGAGGTGATTTTACTAGGAGGAGGCTGGACAGAAGTAGCCTCTGCTGAGCCTTGATCTCCTTCCAGATGACAATGGCCTAAGCCCTGTTTGGGCTCCAACACAGGAGAAAGTGACCTTTGAAATTTACGACCCCAACCTGGCGTTTCTGCGCTTTGTGGTCTACGAGGAAGATATGTTCAGTGACCCCAATTTCCTTGCTCACGCCACTTACCCCATCAAAGGAATCAAATCAGGTAAGACATTTTAATTAAGATGTTTGCTTTGGGCTAGTATTTCCTTCGGTCTGTGCCACTGCCTTTAGAAAGAATGAAGAAGCATTTCCCCCTGGTTTTTATTAAATTGTTGCAGAATGGACTGGGTGACTTGGACAGCTGATCACGTGGTTGTCACCATGCACTGGCACATGCACTAGGAGAGGCGGGGATCCTGGGCCCTTCACACTCAGGCCTCTGTGTGCAAAATTGGATTATTAGTTGCTTGTCTGCCTGACAGTAGTTTGGTCTCCTCTTGAAAGGCTAGGGGCTTTCGTGATTCATCTCCTGCTCTGCCTGGCTGGCACTGTGCCCTGGTGGGAAGACCAGGGCCCTGAGCACCTGTGGGTCACAGTCTCAGATCTGCCTCTTCCCACATCATCAGAGCTTCACCTTCCTATTCCGTAAAATTGGAATGGTTGATAAACTTCTTCCAGTTGTGATTTTTCTTCTGTGCTGAACAAAACCCCTTCCTGCCTCGAGGAGGGCCATTTTGTGTCAGCCTACTGCCACGCCAAGCTGAGATGTATGACCAGCTATCTTATGAACAAAGAAACCAGCGAGCCTGGGTAGCTCAGTCAGTAAAGCACCTGCCTTCAGCTCAGGTCATGATCTTGGGGTCCTGGGATCAAGCCCCATGTTGGGCTCCATTCTCTGTGGGGAGTCTCCTTCTCCCTCTGGCACACACGCATGCTCTCTCTCAAATAAAATCTTTTTTTTAAATGTATTTTTTTATTGGAGTTCGATTTGCCAACATATAGTATAACACCCAGTGCTCATCCCATCAAGTGCCCTCCTCAGTGCCCATCACCCAGTTAGCCCCATCCCCCAACCCGCCTCCCCTTCCACTATCCCTTGTTCATTTCCTAGAGTTAGGAATCTCTCATGTTTTGTCACCCTCTCTAATCAAATAAATAAAATCTTAAAAAAAAAAAAAAAAGAAATTAAGTCTCATCCCCCACAATGCAGTGAGATAGACCCCCAGGGAGGGGATTCAGGATGCATGAGCTTAGTGCTGCTTTGTAAATGTGGCTGCCCTCATCTTCTCTCCTGCTGCATTTTGTGTAACGTTTGACAAACCTTCACCCAATGCTGAATCCCTTTTCCTCCTTCCTTAGTATTGCTGAGGCATGACACACAAGATCATAGATCCTTCTGGAGTCCTCATAGGTCACTGTTCCCCGAGGATCATTTTCAAGAGAAACCGATCACTCATTTTCATGATTATACACCGATATAGTCTTTTTTTCTTGATGTCGTTTGGAAACCTTGTGTCTTGTTTTCTTTCTTTTTTTTTTTTTAACTTGAAACACATCAGATATTCCCTAAGTTTCTACCTTTCTTAATATCATAAGTCTGAGCATTTCCAGCACCTGCCTAACAGGGCATGTGTTTAGAGACTACAGGTCCCTGGGCTTGTGCCCAGGCTTCCCCTGGGGAGGGTCTGGGAGGGTGTAGGTTTATTAGCCAGCTCCTCAGCTGGCACTGCAAGAGGATGGAGCTCCACGCCTCATCTTATCACCCGGGAAACGAATTCCTAAGCAAAGGAGTAGATGAAGAACTTTAGAAACAGCCGTCCTCATAATTTTCTCTTAAGTATTCACCTGTAAGTCACTGAAGTCTGATCCTTGGTTCACCTGTCCACTCTGTCAGCTAATTTATTTTTTTAAAGATTTTATTTATTCATGAGAGACAGAGAGAGGCAAAGACACAGGCAGAGGGAGAAGCAGGCTCCATGCAGGGAGCGCAAAGCGGGACTCGATCCTGGGTCTCCAGGATCATGGCCTGGGCTGCAGGCGGTGCTAAACCGCTGAGCCACCCGGGCTGCCCATCTGTCAGCTGCTTTAAACCCAGCAAGGAAGCTGCAGTTTCATCATGTGCCCTTTTAGAATACCAAATAAATAAAGCTTAGGAGAGATTTCTTTTTATGGTAACGATGTTTGTTCTTAACCCACGTCCTCTGAACTCATCGTGTGCAGACAGGCAGCTCTGCTTTCATGATCTGGTTACCGTGTCCTCTTGAAGGACAAGTGATGGGAGTTTTGTGGTTGCTTCCAATGCCTGAGAGCAAGATCAGAGTTGATGAACCCTTCCCCTTTCCCTTACCTTACCAGCCACCAAATTGTGTCTGTTCATCTAGAAAATGCTAGGAGTTAGCTTGGAGAGATTTAAAATACAAAGAGCAGGGGTGCCTCTGTGGCTTGGTCGGTGAAGTGTCTGCCTTGGGCTCAGGTCTTGATCCCAGGGTCCCCCTGGTTGGGCTCCCTGTATGCAGGGAACATGCTTCTTCCTTTCCTCTCTCTCATGCTTTCTCTCTCTCAAGTAAAATCTTTAAAAATCACACAAAGAGCAGATATCAGAGATGAAAAATGTGGCCTTCCCGCAGCTGTGAGCATGGTCAGTAAGGACCTTGTCTCGCTCCTGTGCCACTTCCAGCAAAGCCTGGCACATCCATATTCAGAGAAGGGATGAAATGAACAATCCCCTTGTGCATGAGGCATTGGGGACCTTCTGAACTCACAGATAGACTCTGCCCATTGTCATTAGGGATGCACTTAAGCTTTGGAGGCAGATGGAGCTCAGAAAGGAAGGAAAACATCATTTATTGTGTTCTGTGCCTTAAACGCTTTAATCCTTGCAACAATCCTGTGAAAGATTTTATCATCTCTGCTTTTTAAAACATGAGCACTTTGGGGCCTAGAGACATTAATTACCTTGCTCAAGGTCACACACCTGCAGGACCAGAGCTGGGCTACAGCCCCAGGAATGTGTGACCGCACACCCCACGTTTTTCTACGCCACAGGCCTCCCATACTCCAAATAAGCCAAAATACTAAGCGTGCTGCAAAAGAGGTGTCTGCTTCCCTTTCGTCTGTGACATGACCCAAACCAACAAGGATAAAACAGAAGCAAACTGTTTCTGGTAAAATTGGGAAACACCTCTCCACGCTAACCCCAAGATGCGTGAACGCTGCTCACAACATGAGGCCTGGCCACTGAAAGGAGGGATGTGGGGATGGAGCTCACTTCTCCAAATCGGGAGCCAGCTTCTGAGTGTCAGTTCTCAGCCAAAGGGAGCACCATGTCCTTGGAGCACAGGGACTACCTGATAGTCTTCCCAGTACCATGGAGCGCTCAGCAGTCCAGTACATTCTGACAGCCCATCAGTACCTAGATGACTTCTTCCAGTGTCCACAGACCAGCTCTTAGAGATGCAGAATCTCAGCCCCACGCCAGCCCCTAATTCAAATCCGCATTTTAATAAGATTTCCCTGACATCAAACCTGGAAGAGCTGAGGCTAGACTGCAGGAATGCTGTAGGTCTCCATGCAAAAAACAAGCCAGAAAACCAAGAAAAATCACATCATCTAGAAGGGGAGAACAGGTCAGAAAACCTCACAAGTCACAGAAGGCAACGTCCACAAAATCCTCCAAGGAAAAGTCTGGGCTGAGAGTTTTATACCCAGACGATCACTCAAATGTAAAATCAAAGAACAGATGAGTTAGAGTATGTGCCATCCGAGGTCATAGTGAAGAAAATGAGAGGCCAAGTTTAGCTCACAAAGACACTGGTAGAGGGACGCTTGGGTGGCTCAGTAGTTGAGCGTCTGCCTTTGGCCCGGGGTGTGATCCTGGAGACCCGGGATCGAGTCCTGCATCAGGCTCCCTGCATGGAGCCTGCTTCTCCCTCTGCCTGTGTCTCTGCCTCTCTCTCTGTGTGTCTCCCATGAATAAATAAATAAAATCTTTAAAAAACCACACTGATAGAGAAGTCCAGTAAAAAGATGGTAAGCACTGGACATCTGAAGTTGACACACCATGAAATGCACAAATTTTAAATCGGAAGAGCCCTGTCCACAAGTATTGAACTCCAGTTCATGAGATGCCTGCTGATGTATGCAGGGGGACGTGTACAGATGTCTTCACCTCCTTTTGAAATATATATACACACACCTGTATACTGGATGGAGTGTTGGGTACATGTGATTAAGAAAATGTAGTAAAAGGTTAATGGTAGGGATCTAGGTGGCCAGTATACAAGTGTTCCCTGAATATTACCTTCACTCTGCTGTAGGTGTGGAAATGTTATAGCCAAGTCTCCCTTTGTGGAAGAGTTATGGTTACAAAATGAAATACAATACAGCTCACCTTTGAACATTGTGGGGGTTGAGGGTGTCCATCCCTCAAGCAGTCAAAAAGCCACCTGTGATTTTTGACTCCCCCAAAACCTAATAGCCTATTGTTGACTAAGAAGCCTTGTAACAGTTAACACATACTTTGTATTTTATACCGTCTTCATAAAGTGAGCTGGAGAACATGTTAAGAAAATACATGTACGGTACTATACTTATGGAAAAAAAAGTCTGTGTGTACAGTGGACCCGCACAGTTCAAACCTGTGTTGCTCAAGGGTCAACCGTATTATTTATACACAATATCCTGTAGACATGATAATACAGCTTACCCAAATTAGGGGAAAGAAGGAGAGAGGAGGGGTAGGCTTGCAATCTGTGCATTGACTTCCTTACCTTAGCAGTGGGAAGGGAGAGAGGGATTAGTCATACTAATAAATACTGTTAAAGTTTCTCCAAGAGAAGTCAGAAGAATAATCAGAGAAGCCAGAACATAGATGGTGGAAGACACAGAGGAAACAGTGGGAGTGCCCTGAGGCAGGCATTGCTTGTCCTGGAGAATCGGAAGATAGAATGCAAATAAGAAGCTTTTGAGAGGAACTGGGGTCATATCATCTCCAAGATACGTTAAATTCCAGATGGTTTGGACTGCTTGCCTTAGGGTACCATCGTTAGTGACTTAAAAGAAACCTAAGACTGTATCTTGGGAAGATACTGTTAAAAGTGACGCCTTCTGGAAGAAGGGATTTTATTTTATTTTATTTTATTTTTAATTTATTTATGATAGTCACATAGAGATAGAGAGAGAGGCAGAGACACAGGCAGAGGGAGAAGCAGGCTCCATGCACCGGGAGCCCGACGTGGGACTCGATCCCGGGTCTCCAGGATCGCGCCCTGGGCCAAAGGCAGGAGCCAAACCGCTGCACCACCCAGGGATCCCTGGAAGAAGGGATTTTGAATGAGTAGCAACAAGACTTTAATTTTACTTCATATTTGTTTAGACTAAATTAAAACAAGCAAACTAACCAGCCTTTGAGATGTGTTGTCTTAAACCTTACTTAACAGGGGAAAAATCACCTCTACTTGAACACTCCCCTCTAAATAATAAGAAACACTTAAATGAGTGTCCTAATTATAAATGGAGAAAGGCTTTCAAAGGAAGATCAATAGTGCTATGGACTGCCAAGGGAAAGATTTCCTCCTATTGGAAATCTTTAAGGATGAAACACCTTCCCCCCCATCCTATGCTTTGTAAAGGCAGACATAAAGGAGGGGATGCAAGGGTGCATTACTCCTTTGAGTCTTTTGGCCTCCGGAGTCAATTGTCACTTTTGGCCTTAAGGAATTAAGGCTGCAGTCCCTCTAAATGTGTGATGTTCTGTAGGTTTTGATTTTTTTCAAGTGAATCATTTTCATGTCTACACGGCCGCTATTTTTAACTCCACTTCTCTTTGTGGGCTTGTCATTCAGTGTTGCATTCTGGAGCCCCTCTCCCTAGCCATCAGGATGGGACTTCTGGTTTCCAGAAAGTCAGCCCCCAGCGTAGGTCACTGATTTACCTGCTCCTGGCACTGGACATGTGATCCCTGGGTACCCCCAGGAAAGCTAAGGTCTGACATTAATGGCCTGTCTTTGCCTTGTCTTTACATTCTGCTGCAGGATTCAGATCTGTTCCTCTGAAGAACGGGTACAGTGAAGACATTGAGCTGGCTTCCCTCTTGGTTTTCTGTGAGATGCAGCCAGTCCTGGTGAGTAAAGACATGCCAGTTGGGGTTTCCAGAGCTGTGTCTGCTGGTGGGGTGGAAATGGCCTCTGGGTACAGTTGTCTGGACTTAAACCCATTGGGAATTATCAAGCCAGAGTTGACACATCATAGGACAATTCCTCAGCGGTCCCAGCTTTTTCCTTCCAGCATTTCTTCCTTCTCAGAGAATGCTGTATGATTCCTTGAGTAGGTCATATATTTGGAAAGGGTGAGGCTGTTTGGAAGTTCCTTATGGTTTCCTTGCAGCAAGTAGAGTTGGGCAAGATAATGCTTTTCTAGAGAAGCTCACCTTTCCTGTGTGCTCCCCCACTCCCCTCATTGGTCTTGAGAGTCCCTTCAGAAGGGCTGAGAGCATCCACCAAGGTCTTGTCATGGCCTATGCTGGGGAAGGATGTTCACAGGGAGGGGCTCTACTTTTGTCATTTTCTCGGCTACTGGAAGAGCCTACCACCGTGGTCCTTTCATATTGTCAAGTCCTTGAAGATGCATAGTCTCTCCTTAGATTGACCAGTTTGGGGAGGGGTGAGAAGGGCTTGGCCTTAGTGAATGCCTTGGCCTTAGTGAATGCAACACCAAGCTGGGATAGTTCATGTCTCGGGTTGGTAGGAGGATATCTGGATAAGTGATTTCAGAGCTTCACAATTCTCTTGATAGCCTCTCCCATAGAATGAAACCCACTTGGCATGTGTTTTTGTAATATCCCATGACACGGCCAATTCATTCTCCCAAGATCTTTCCATTTCCCTACCACAAAACTTAGCATGGGCTGAGTGAGTGTGTGGTCACCCCACTTATCTTTGGAGAACCTAGAAAAACCATGGTTCTGGGCCCCAGCGTGCTGACGTGGGCTTGGTCAGTGCCCCTGGAAATGCATCTTTTTTTCTCTTCCTGGTTGTTCTCTGGGCAGAGAAATCACAGCCTGTAACTTGTTTTGGCTGTAAGAACTAAACGGGGATTTGGAAGTTGCTTATTTGGCAACTTCCAGAATAAAGCTGAGAACCATCCAACAGGGAAGGGAGATGGCAGGGGTGGAGATGCCTTTTCACAGCTGTCACCATAGTCCATGCAGTAAAAATTCATGGACTCAGAGGAGAGAACATTAGGCTTTTCTGCAGAGCTGTCTGCCTTACATTTAGTTTTAGCAATCTTGATAGTTTTCTACTTCACAGAATTTATAAACATAAATGGAGGAGGGTGCAAAGCTAAGGAGAGACCGACAAAGCAGCAAAAGCAGGAAGCGGACACATAAAAGGCACAGTAGTTGGGGGGCCAGAGAACCTCAGTGACAGCCCGAGGGATCACTGGTGTTGGTATAAAATAGGCTCCTGATGACAATTGTGTCTTGAAAGGATCAGGTGATGGATAATGCACAGTTTTCCATTTTGAAACAAATTTTACTTGTCAATGCTTTAGACTAGGTCAAAATAAATGTTTCCATATGAACTTTATAGTGTTCACTTGAACCTGTAATTATGGATTAAAAAAAAAAATCACTCTTTGTGGTTCTTACTGTGATAGCAGTGCTTGGTCCTGAAAGGACAACTGAGCTAGTAATCAAGTCCTTACTTAGAATGCCCAAGGCTTAATTACATGGCTCTTTTGTCAATTTATCACTAGTAAAACAGAGTCCTTTAAACAAGTCCATTAAAAAGACCTTGGCCAGAATACATTATTTTATATAATGGTTAAATGTACACGTGCATGTACACACAGCCCAGACTGTGCAAATTAGAATTTTATAATTTCTGGGAAGAGACGAGGAGGTAAAGTTAGCATTTGGTCTGATTCCTTCTCTCTCTAGGCCAGTGCTTCTTTATGGAAGTGTAAGAAAAATAATACAAATCTATGTGTCTAGTTTCTTTTTAAAATTTTGGTATTCTTCATATTTGGGACTGGTTGTCCCTTGCGGGGGGGTGGGGGGGCTGTCCCCTGCATTTGGAATGTGGAGCAGCATCCCTGCCCCCTGTGTAACAACCAGACTATCTTCAGACATTGTTCAATGTCCCTTGGTTGGCAAAATTGCTTTAAGTGAAATTATAAACACTTTTCATACTGTTAATCTAATTTATTAGCATTTAAATGATGGGCAGGTTTTTCCATGGAGCGAACTGACCACTATTCTCCCGAGTTGAGCATTCATGAAATCCATTTACAAATAAGGCTTTCGTAAAATTCTTCATGTGATTATTATTTTCCTCCTTTAATTCAGAGTTATTTTCTTAGGATTGATTCCCAGGTATGGAATCAGTTTTATTTATTTTTTTAAAGATCTTATTTATTTGAGAGGGAACAGCATGAGCAGGGCGGGGGAGAGGCAGGGCAGAGGGAGAAGCAGGCTCCCTGCAGGGAGCCCCAACATGAGTCTGATCCCAGGACCCCGGGATCATGAGCAGAGCTGAAGGCAGACCCTTCACTGACTGAGCAGTTTATTTCACAGGATGGCAAACCTGTAAAACTTGGAATCAGTAAGCTCGAAGACCCCTGGCTTAGTCAAGGATTTGTGATTCTGTTGCTGGGGGAAGGGGAACCAGCCCCATCCTGTCTGTGTACATAAAGGCCATCTGCAGACATTTCCTGAAAAAATGATGTGATAAACTTGGTTTGAGATGGTGGTGGGACCCTATTGGTCTAGACATTGCTCTGCAAAGCTGTTGTAAACAACTTGGAAACATTACAAATAACTTGGCAATACCAGCAGCAGAGAAACTTCTTAGTATATTTAAAGGAAAATATATTTATCTCAATTTGACTCCATGCAGGGAAGCTTCCTGTACGGGTGCTGCTTGGGACCTCACGGTAGAGCATGGCAAGGAGTGGGGGCAGGGCTTGGGGTGCCAGGGGAGTGTTAACTTGCCCAGATCTGCACTCTGAAGGGGTTTTGGCAGGAAAGGTGTCTGAGTTATGTGCAAATCTCATTTCAGCTGATGGTTTTTTAAGCTTTCATTCCACATCTGTCACCTGGTTCTCAGGCATTCACAGGTGCCATTTGCTGTGACAAGGAGTCTCTAGGGGGGCTGAGCTGGGGGGTGGGCTAGACCCCGGCTTTCTCTTTGCCCAAAGTCAAACCTTGTTTCATTTACTACTGCATCTCCTGTCATGCTAGGGAGAGACTCTGGTAAATAGCCTCACAAAAGACTGAGCCAGGGATTGATCCAGTGAGGGCTGGTTGGAACTTCAGGCTCCAGAAAACTCTCAATGAGCACTTCAAGCTACTTCTGAAGAAGCCATTGATACATCACAATTGCTTTATCAATGCTCAGTCCTCTGCTCTGTTAGCTGTATATAGGGTGTACCAAAAAAAATCCTTTCAACACTATTTTATTACCTCCTACTCTTGACAAGTTGTAAAATGAAGGAATGGAGGGGGTTGAAAAAAAAAATCCCTATAAGCTACCTGCCTATAGCCACGGTTAACATTTTGGCCTATTTCCTTTCATAGAGTATGCATGCACATGTGCCCTTTATCTGCATCACAGATGACTTGAAGCATTTTTCTATGTTAGGATTTTCAAAGCCATCAATGCCTGTTTCATCAGATAAGGGTCCCTTGTTCCTTCACTCAGCCATTCTCCAGGTGATGGACAATTAGGGTGTTTGTACTTTTTTTATTTTATAAATAATGAAGGTCTTCATATAACCTTTTTTGATTAAAAATTATTTCCTAGGGCTTGATATTTAGTAATGGAATACTAGATCAGAAAGAAAGAAAGAAAAAAATCCTACATCTTTTTGAAAGCATATTGAATTGTTCTCTGAAAGTAGTTTAAGTTGATGTATTTTATCCAGCCTTGCTGTTAATTGAAAAGGGTTTCCACTCAAATGATTTAAACTTGTGAGATTCAGAAGAATGGGACAGGAGAAAGTATGAAAACATGAATATCCTAATCATCAATGGGCAAAGCTGGCAGTACCTGGGATCTTGTGAGTACTGATCCTACAGGCAGATGGTACTGGGTGGGAGCTAAGGAGTGGAAAGACCAGAATGCTGTGGTTCCCAGTGAGGGCTCGGCCAGAAGACATGTGTGAATCCCTCTGCAGAAGGGCTATAGTAGCCCATACTCTAAGACCCAGGATGGGGAGCCATACCCTGAGGCTGAGCTGGTCCTGGTTTTGGACGATGGTGAAGATTGCCTTACAGTTGGGAAGACCCTCCTTATGCCTCAGCAGCTAGCGTTTGCCAGTTTGACCTCAAGGAGCAGAAATTTCTGTGTCTGCCACAAAGCTCCAACAACTTGATGTAACCATGAGCATGAAGTGGAAAAAGAAAAAAAAAGCTGGCACACGGCAGTAAGAGGAAGATAGATCCAGATGGACTCCTGGTACAAGTGGCCGGCAGTTGAAGTTGAGCCATTGGAAGCATCCAAAGAAGAACCCTAACATATAGATCATAAAAACTTTCAAGGGTATCTAAGTAGAGTACTGAAAAAGGCTTTTGGAATTTGAAACAAAAACCTGATTTCTTGAATTAAAAAATGTAACATACATGCAGAGACCTGCATCAGTGACCCAACATATAACATGGAAGAAATGTCTCACAATCCAGAGCAATACCACCATGAAGTCGGCTCAGAGAACAGATTCAAAGGACCTACATGCAAGCATGCCCCCAAGAACAGAGTGGAACAGATGGGTGGGGAGCTATTAATGGAAGTTAATAGAGGGAACTTTCTCTTATTTGCTGCTTAAGAGGGTGTACTTGATTCTTGAAAGGGATAAACAGAAAACACACCACATTCCAAAAGTTGTGGTCTAGTACAGGCATACCTTGTTTTACTGGGCTCTGTAGGTACTGCATTTTTTACAGATTGAAAGTTTGTGGCAACCCTGTGTTGAGCAAGGGTGTGGGCACCATTTTTCCAAAAATATTTGCTCACTTCCTATCTCTGCTACTTTTTGGTAAAACTTTTATTATGGGGGTCTTTGATATTACTGTTTTATTTGTCTTGGAGCACCAAGGACCACACCCATATAAGACAGCAGACT